GAGTGAGTCTCCTTTTCTAAGTTCATGGAGAACAGACCAGGTGAATGTAGGTGGAGAAAATCAAGATGGTACCTCTCTGTATTAATCCCACCAGACATGGTATTTTAGAAGGGTTCATGCTCCAGAACAGATTTGTATCTCGAATGCAGCGTGAAGGTTGAAATGTTTAGAGGGCAGATGCAGTTACGGCATGTGACCTGCCGATTAAGTGGGTGCAACCACAGAAGCTGGCATAAGGATATCCTTTATGGTGCTTTCTCTCTGTGAACACATTAGGCTCATCTTTTGGTTTCCTTTTGTTTCTTCTACTGAGAGCTCTTAGCTTTAAGAAGTCCAATGACAAACACCTCCAGCTTTGTAACGTCCTCCCCACACCATCTCACATAACCGTCTGCCAGCCTCCATCTGCACTCAGCAAGGGCATGAAACGAACCTAGTGCCTGTATTCCAGACCGTTTCTGAGGTCTCTTACCCACCCGAGGAGACAGTGCTTCAGAACTGTCCTCCATGCCTTCAGCAGCCCCCCTCAAAGCTAAGGTACACACTCGTCCCTTCCGCTACCCCACCTCCCGCCCTGGCACCGAGGTCGTGTGCTGCTTATGTCTAAAGGGATCCCCTATATTTAACTGCCTCAGTCACCTAACCTCTTTCTTCTCATGTGCCAGATGTTAAGATGAAGGAGGAATACAACACATACTCCAGCCCCACCTGTTTAAATATGCTTTCGCTGGGGCTCACTTTCCTTGGATGGTATTTATTACCATACTGGCAAACCTAAATCCTTAGGTTTACAGGAAGTATGCCTATTTTTGTAAAACAATCCTATGTCCTCCACAAATTTTGCTTTGTTAATATTCGCCTCTAGTAATTTGCAGCTGTTTCACCTTTTCCTCATTCGTCTCTCGTTGAAGGCCTTGTCGGAGGGAACGGCACAGGGACAGCCTTGGCAGTCTGTAATTATTGTACAAATATTTTAATAGCATATAAATAAGTATATTCCTTTTATTTTGAAAAAATGATCAGACACTGCCTTTTGTGTGTTTGCTGCCTGTGGCACCCTTTTTTTAAAAAGACTGTTACATATTAAAATAGTGTACATATATATATATAAATATTACCTCTTTTGCTGTACAGTTGTGATAGACCAGACTGGAGATTTTATTTTTTGTGTGCTTTTTATAAAAAAATTAATACACTAAAGAAAATCTTGCTGATGTGATTGTAATGTACCTATGTAACTTATTTACTTTTGAATGTTCTTCTGTATCTTTAAACCTTTTATTAAATAAGGTCTTAAAAATTCAGAGTTGAATGCTGTGTTATTTTGGGGAGATTTTCACTCTCTGGGATTGATGTAAATAGGCCTTGTTTTGCTTGCAGGGGATTACTCGACAGTTTTGAACCAGAAGCATTCTTTTTCATCAACCCATTCATTGTCCATGATGCCAGGACAGGAGAAATGAACACACTAGCGTCTGCCTGGCTATAAAGCTTACTGACTGTTCTACAACATTTTAGCAATCTCAATGGACTGTCTCACACAAAAACATGTAAATGGCACACTTCCAACATTCTAGTTTCTTTGGGATGAAATATGGAGGGTGCAGAATGCAGTCAGGTGGCACAGGGGAGCTACATGGTTGAAGAGGGTGTTTCAGGTTGAACCAGTGACAGGAGCCTGCTTGTCTTCACAGCTGCATTTTTAACAGCATCGTCTTTTTTTAAAATTGTGTTTTATTAATTATGCTATTATAGTTGTTCTGATTTTTCCCCCTTTGCCCCCCTCCACCCAGCAATTCCCCCCACCATTGTTCATGTCCATGGATCATGCATGTAAGTTCTTTGGCTAATCCATGTCCTTCAACAGTATTATCTTAAAACTGTTGCAAAAGTAGGTTTTAAACACGGTGTTTTGTAAAAATAAAACACAAACAAACAAACAAACCTGGAAAACGTGGAAAAGAAAAAAAAGAAATGCGCCATCAGAAAAACCAGTGAACTGGAGCCCTTGACTGGCACCCTTGACTGGCACCATGGCAACCACTCCAACCCGCCGGCTGCGGGAGCGCGCGAATCTCCCGTCGTCTGGCCCACCGTTGCCATGGCTACACTGGCACACACCGGGCCTCAAGGGGCGGGGCGCCAGAAGCCACTCGCAGGGCGGGCCTCCCTCTTCTGCCGCAGTAGCTTGTCGGCTGGCTGTGGGTCTGGTGGTCTTTCAGCTGCAGCGCGGACCTCCGCCGCCTGTGTCTTCGGTCCTTGGCCTTACTCGCCTCTATAAGGTCCCCTGCACCCGCGAAGAAGCTGCTCGCGGGCTGACCCTGCCGCTGCTGCAGGACAGTCTCTTCCCTGGAGGGGCTGCACAGTCCTCATCTGCTAAGCAGCCGCTGCTCGGTCACCCGAAGGCCCGGCTGCGACCGCGGACGCCGGATCGACTGCAGGAGCAGCGACTGCCCGGCGCCTCAGAGGCTGAGAGGAGGCGGCCACGCCCCACGATCACACCCCGGCGGCCTCTCCGGACCGGCGGCTCCAAGCTTCTGCGCCACAAGGCAACACCGTGCTTGCAGGTGAAGAACCCCAGCCTCGGACCCGGACCTGAGACCCAAGATGGCTGCGGCCGCGTGACCAACCGACTGAGCCTTCCCGAGGCTTCGCTCTGAGAACGCGCCGCAAAAGAACCACAGCGGGACTCTGGTGTCGTTTGTTAATTGTGGTTGCGTGCAGCTTGCCTCCAACGGGTATATTTGGGGGCAGTGTCTGCTGTTGTCTTAAGTCCCAGAGCACTGGGAGCCACGGTCTAACTAGCGTGTTCGTGGAATTGGGCCCTTGATAGTTGGGGAAATGGCGATGACACTGTTGGAAGACTGGTGCAGGGGAATGGATGTGAACTCCCAAAGAGCCCTGCTGGTCTGGGGGATCCCAGTGAACTGTGATGAGGCTGAAATCGAAGAGACCCTCCAGGCTGCGATGCCCCAGGTGCCCTATCGAGTGCTTGGGAGAATGTTTTGGAGGGAAGAGAATGCGAAAGCAGCCTTATTAGAGCTCACTGGCGCTGTGGATTACGCGGCCATCCCCAGAGAGTTGCCCGGTAAAGGAGGGGTCTGGAAAGTGGTCTTTAAGCCTCCGACTTCTGATGCTGAATTTTTAGAAAGGTTGCATCTCTTCCTAGCGAGAGAGGGGTGGACCGTGCAAGATGTGGCCCGTGTCCTTGGGTTTCAGAACCCCGCTCCGGCCCCAGGCCCAGATATGCCAACAGAGATGCTGAACTATATTTTGGACAGTGTTATTCAGCCTCTAGTTGAATCCATATGGTACAAGAAGCTGACGCTGTTCTCGGGGAGGGACATCCCGGGGCCTGGGGAGGAGACCTTTGACCCCTGGCTGGAGCACACTAATGAGGTCATAGAGGAGTGGCAGGTGTCTGATGTAGAGAAGAGGCGGCGGTTGATGGAGAGTCTTAGAGGCCCTGCAGCTGACGTCATCCGCATCCTCAAGACTAACAACCCTGCAATAACTACCGCGGAATGCCTGAAGGCGCTTGAGCAGGTGTTTGGCAGCATCGAGAGTTCTAGAGATGCGCAAGTCAGGTTTCTGAACACTTACCAGAACCCAGGAGAAAAGTTATCGGCTTATGTCATTCGTCTGGAACCTCTGCTGCAGAAGGTGGTGGAGAAGGGTGCCATAGATAAAGATAACGTGAACCAAGCCCGCCTGGAGCAGGTCATAGCAGGAGCCAATCACAGCGGGGCCATCCGAAGGCAGCTGTGGCTGAATGGAGCTGCGGAAGGGCCGGCTCCTAACCTCTTCCAGTTGCTGGTGCAGATCCGCGAGGAGGAGGCCAAGGAAGAGGAGGAGGAAGCTGAGGCCGCCCTCCTGCAGTTAGGCCTGGAGGGGCACTTTTGAGTCCTGGGAAGTGGAGATTTAGCACAGACCTAGGCAACAGCTTCTTTCATTGTGCCTGTGCTGTCTTATTGGTGTGTCTCTTAGTCCTGTTTTCTTGGGGGGAGTCAGGCCTGGGTATTCTTGTAACAGTAAAATCGTGCAAGCAACCACCCTGAACTGCTGGTGTGAGTCATGCTAGTGGAAATGCCAGGTAAAGGTTTGTACACAGGTGCTCAGTGCAAGCGGTCATCATGGCATCATCAGTTGTGAAAAACGTGAACTTGTGACACTTCTCATCGAGGTACTTAAGCGTGAAATTGCATGTTCAGACCTTTAGTTCAGAGCCTGGCTAACACAAGTGTTCAGTAAAAGTATGAATGTTATTACTAATAACGTGAATAGTTTTTTGTGTTTACCATAAATTGTTCCTGTTTTATGTTAATGGAAAGAAATGTGAACTAGCTATTCTTGGTGATTCAGCTTCACAGTGCTAATTTTTTAATTTTTCAACTGTACACACCTGGATCAGTTTAATTGAAAAGTATTCTCAGACTACAAAATGGTGTGTTAGAAAAATTCTACAATTACAGAGCTGTGTAAATTAGAATTTTTCCTGTACAAGATACGGATATAAATCACATGGGGAGGTTAATATGAACCAGTTAAGTATCCATTCCATTTCAAATCTTTGTCATTGAATAGTAGCTGTCTTTATTCATGCTGTTCTAAGTGTTCTAAATTCGAAGTTATCAAATACATGTATATCAAATACATGAATAAATATTTTTAAAGTTTCATTTTTCTGACATGTATAAAAATGTTCAGAGTAATTAAAATCTATATCTTTTATCAGACTTCATGTCACCAAAAAAATCAAACTTCAATTTGTATAGCCTTCAATAAAGGCTAATAGTGGTATTAAAGATTTCTTTATCTTGAAGCTTTATAGCATACTCTTAAGTTTACATTGTAGTACTTTTAATATGTTCAATTTTGCATGGTTTCTACAAGGCAGATGTTAAGAGATTAAATGAGTAACTATAACTTACTATAAAGTGCTAGGACAGCCTGTGGTGGGTTTCAGGTTATCCAGCAGCCCCCTTCTAAGTTCCTTTCAGCTAAAACTGTTTTGCTGCAGGAATAACTATGTAAAATTAATGTTTTGATTTTACAGCATCCATTTTATATCAAGAGGATATAAAAAAGGGAAATATGGCTTAAAAACATGTTTATTTGGCTGCAGAGGTTCAGTGACTATGTGCATCTTTTGAGGTCGTAGTGAATCCAGAAGTGATTACATGAACATTGTGTTCAGCGGGAGTTTCCCCCTAGTAACAAGGCTTTAAAATGATAGCCAACCTATTGTGACAATCATCAGGTGTAAGAAATGTAGTTATAAAGGCTAATAGTGGTATTATGTTCTAACAGCTTTTTCTGTACATTCATCTCACTTCCCATATGATATCTGTTCTTCCCTCACACTCTCAACACATCTCTACAGATTTGACCCCCATAGACATCCTTATTTCCTCTCTTCCCACTCACTGCTTCCCCATTTATTCCCACCCCACATGCCCCCAAACACACACACACACACACACACACACACACAGCTATGGAACGTGTTATCCAAGGATTGATTTCCAAGGACTAATTTCTTTGGAATTATACGAAGTTCATATATTTGTTCTAATTAACTAAAACTGATGGTTATGTAACCAAAAAAGGTACAGATTTTTTTTATAAAATAACACCATTTATTACTATTTTAAAACAAGTCTCACAAAATAACATTCAGAAACTCAACTTTTCTAAATAATTTAACACATTAAGTTTAGTCATAAAGTCATGCTACAAAATTCCTGCATATAAAAGATTATTACCAAAGTTTTAATAGGTGTTAATAGATGTTAAAGGTTCTTCAGAATGGAGTTGGTTCTAGAAGCCAGAGATTCTGGAATGACGCTTGCAATGACGACTGACACCATTGACACCGTGGGAGCCAGAGCCCATTCCCTCCCAGCTCCCGACCCCAGGCTTTCGGTGGGGTCGATGTCTCTGGGCACCAGCACCTCAGAGGCAGGTACCCTGCTGATCACAGAAGCAGGGAACCTCCCACCCTCCTAACATTCGCCACAACTTCACTTAGCCAACATCTAAATGAATGTTTAAAATCTAGATGTGGGGAAGATAACAAAGTTTCTGAGTAGGAGAATTCTACTTGACACGTCCCCCCAAGGAAGACGGTCAGTGTGGTGGACGGGGAAGGTGACACCGACTAGGGAAATAAGGAAATCCTGCCTCTGATTACGCCAACAGACAACTATTGCTCCGTGGGCTTAAGACGAGCAGCATAGGTTTGACTCTCTAATATCCACATGCGGGCAGGACGTTGACCCCTCTGCCCTTTGGGAGTACTTCCAGCCAACCTCCAGTTCATAATTTTAAAGTGCAAGTCTGTTGAAAAATAGTTTACTCTCCCCCACCCCCTTATTAAATTTGCTAGATCATAATTTGGTTGGCTGGTTCCTCTCTAACCACAATATGGGAAATTAACTAGAATCCAGTTATGACTTCTCCAAGTGTCAAGTGAAAATTTACCTTAGGTCAGAAAAAGGTAAGACTCAGTCTGGTTTTTCCTTTTAGTGTTCTTCCTTTGCAGTCTCTAGTTTATAAAAAGACAGGAATAGAGATGTAGATGTGAGATTTCTAAAGTTCAGTGATTTTTTAAAAAATACCCTTAATTTTTTTAATTGCACCTATTTTGTGGTTTTCCAAAAAAAATAAAACAGCCTCATGCTGGAGTGAAGATGAAGGACTGTAGTCACGTCAGCTGTGTCAGAGGACCCACTCTGCTGCACTCAAGATTGTTTTGTACTTAATTATTTACAGACACATTAAGCAGCCCAAATAAAGAGAATGTATGCCAAAGGAATTAAATCCTGGTGAAGAGTAACTTTCAATTTAGCAGTTAGCTTTCTCCCTTTACCACTACTTACAATATAAAGTCTTTGTGACTAAGAGACTTCCGTTAGAGAGACACTAAGTACTTGTGATCGATGCTTGGCACTTCCCCCCAATTTTTTTAAAATTAATGATTAAATCCAACCTTCCTAGTTCTACCCTTTAGTCCTGAGAAAAACCCAGGTGGAAGATTCTAGGTCACAAAGATCACTACCTTCAACTCTACTTACACATCACCAACTCTGAAAATCAGTCAACAGTTAAGATTCATTTCTTACTCTTCCTTATTCTACTTGAAATAGGCATCAGAAGAAGCATCTATCCAAGTCAAAATTTATCTTTCCAAACAGGAACCACATTTAAGTGACATATACCACCTCTATTTGTGGACTGGATCCAGTAACCAGACATTCTGAAAGCATCCAAAACTGGTGTCTACACCCACTAACTTTCATACATGATCACCAAATTTTGTACAGTATTTCCTGTATTTAATGACTGCTACAGTCTGTAAAGTCCTGTGCATTACTAGACAATGAATGAACACTTAAAAAATGACAATCAATTTTCTAAAATATACTTAAAAGTGTTAAACTTTAGAGACAACCCAAAATCTATCATAAACTTGGATCCCGCTGATAGTAAGAGAGAGGTAGGTTAATAATCATTGTTCTAAGATAAGCAAAATGCTAAGAAATAAAAGTTGAGATCCTGCTGAAAAAAAGAATAAGTTGAACCTTCCAGCCCTGAGTTTCTAATGTGATGTGAGAATTATTAAAATGAGCATTACAAAAGACGGAAACACCAGCGACTATTTCCTTCCACACGTGATCACTAAACACATCACCTTCCCTCATACAACTAAGGTGGCACTGGCTACAGAGTGAAAAGAAATGTGCTCTGGACAAGAGGAATGTTCAATGTATAAAGCACTGGTTCTTCACTAGGGGTGAATTTGTTCCAATGCCTCTGCCCCAGGAGACAGATGGCAACGCATGAAGACATTTTCGGTTATCACAACCGGCAAGAAGCCTCTACTTGGCATCTCATAGGTAGAATCAGAGATGCTGCTAAACATCCTGTAATACCCAGGACAGCCCCCCACAACATTATCGAACCCAAATGTTGATACTGCAACAGTGACTGTGATTTAAAGGAGCAAACTCCTGTGAACAGAGAACACAAAACCTTCCATACCCGACTAGGTAATACAGCCATAAGCTTAGACTCAGGGAACATAGAAAACTTAAATTAGTTGATAGACTAAAATCAAATTTCCTGTGGAAATATTACAATACTGGACTGATAACAGAGCTCTACCATCATCACAAGAATAAATACAATTGAAATGAATGATCCACTAAAATGGCATAATGCTTTAAACTAGGAGCACAGAGAGAATCTGCACAAGTGGGCTAAAGCTCTAAGACACATAAATCGAAGGCATATCAGATAAATTTGCAGTGGTAAAGGATGAGTTAAGGAATGATTTGAGAGAACATTCTGAATTTCTTAGTACACCCCACCTTCCATTTTCTAACGGCATGGATTCTGGGTTTCATCCCATGCAAAGGATGCATAGAAGTCATTCAAATGTTTGTTGAGTAGAACTGAATGTGAGTTTGGTGTGAAATGGACACAGAAAAGCACCTTACATTTCTTTTGTAACTACCAGTGATGAAAAGACATTAAGAAACAAGGAGAAACAGAAAATCAGTTTCTGCATTGCAGAATTTTAAAAAAAACCTAAACATTGTAAGCCATTTTACAAAAAACTCAATTTGATGTCAGTCACCACTCCCTATTATTTTCACTTCCAGGGTAACTTTTAGGAAGTGTACCCATATATAGCAGTATGGCTTCAAGCTTGCCTACTAGATTAAATTCATACTACAGGAAAACCATCTTCCCTCTTAGCTTCTGTGCCTTAAAATCCCGGAGGGGAATGCTCACTGCCTCTGGTTCACAAAAGAAGTACCCAAAGGCTTTGAATGGGTAAGCCAATCAGAGGAACGATGACTTCCTGTCGCATTGTGAGGAAGAGCTAACAGGTAGCTAAAAAAGTGTTGGGTTAATCTTTCCTTTTCAGAATTGATTGTCAAAGCGGTGGCGCCTTTTGATCAGTGTGACTATGAAAAATCATGTAATTCCTATTTAAGTAATAGTTGAAAACTTCTGAAACTCAGGACTACTTCTGTACTCACTTTTTAAAAATGGATCCTCCCTCTTTGGCTGATTTTTACACAAGTAAATGAGAAAATGGAGTTCAAGTCTCTCGTTGAGGGACTGCAGGCACAGTTTGGCGGAGGGCCTCTGACTCCCGTGTTGCGATCTATCAGTGGTCTGGCCACGGGCACTGTGGCCTTCATCTGGTTACTGACCACCGCATCTTGCACTTTCCATAAGGAATTTCTTTCTTATATCATAAATTCTAAGCTTTGCATCCAACTATTGCTCTGCAATTTTGAGTTGAATCAGCTACAATGCCACACTGAGGAAGCAATCTCAAAAATATTGCCATTTGCCTGGGATCCCATAATGAAATATCTCTTTTCCCTCTATAACCACTTACATAATTCATTTTAAGAGCTGTTTAACTTAGACATTCTCTAAAAATATATTTTGAAATACTAAATTTACTTTGTTGAAAGGTACCAAATCGAGGCTTTAACTTCTATACTCTTATGACAGTCACTTTTCCCAACACAACGGTCACCCAACCAAAGTTATGAGGGCGAATTTTGACACATACGAATGGCCAAGACTTAGACTAGGAATTCAAATATAACTACTACTTATATATATTTCCTCATATAACATCCAAAGAGCTATAAACCCCAAAGCGTGCCTCAGATCAGGTCCACACGAGTGACACGACCACAGTGTTGGTCAAAAGAATGATGGCGACAGTCACGTTGACCGCTGACCTGCACTGCAGAGTGACCGACCGCTGTGCGCAGTGACGCGCAAGTGGCTACAAGGTACGCACAACCTAAATTCCAGTTGACGATGTACGTATTTTTTTTAAAAATAAGTAAGTAAACATAACATGGGCTATAAGGCCTCCAAGATACTAATTTTTCTTTTTTCACCACAGTTTTTTCACTATGACTTGGAGTCTCGCTTCTACGGCTGCTGCCGGCTGTCTGCGAGGAGCTCTTCCTGCCCCGTGCCGCCTTCTGAGCCGAAGGCACGACGCGTTTGTGCTTCTGAGTCATAAGGAGACGGACCTTCAGGAAAGATGGTCTACAGATTCAAAAATCAAGTGTATATATTTAAATGCCTGACCTAAAAAAAAAAATTAAACGAAGAACCCATTTGTTTCTTTGTTGTTAAAAACGATTGGTCGCTCTGCAAAGATTTCAGCAGATGGAGACTGAACAAAAATGGAAAATTTGTACTTTTAAAAAAGAGGACTACAATGTATAAAGTTAGTGTTACCACTTGGGGGGAGAAACAGTAAATAGGTTAAGAAAAAAATAGGAATTAGAGATTTGTTTTATCTTAAGAACATTCGCTCCACAGAGAATCTTTAAAATAGACAATTATACAACATTTAAATAAGTTAACACGAAGCAGAAAATGTAGTGTTAGTTTTCTTCTTCCTCATCCTCTTTAATTACTGGGGTACCTAGAATAAAACAGAAATTATTTCTGGTCACTCTCAACAGGTTGTTAAAATTCTAAGTGAAAATATTTTCCCGTTAACCTCAGACGCTTGGGGATGCTGTGAAGTACCATAATAAAAATAATTTCATAAAATAATCTATGTCATTTCAAGTTATCCAAAAAGCCTCTCAGAATTCTCAAATGGATTAACGTAAGTACTAATGAGTATTTGGTTCCCCAAATGCAGAGTTGCAAATAAAAATGCCTAAACGTGCCAGGCAAAAAATAAAGCCCTATATATACTAAAAACTTAGTATGTTAAATACAAAGAAATACTCTGCAGCTGAATTTCTGTATTATTCCTACAACTACTAAGCATCGGTAATAAATAGGCAGGGTGCGGGGGAGGAGAACCAAAGTACAGAAAACAAAACCTATCCGCAAGCTCTCACCCGGCCAAGGGCCACCCATCTCTGAGCTCCAGCATTTGAAGCCTGCGCACAGTCCTACCTACTCACTCTCCGACCCGGCTAAACTGACCAACTCACTGTCTCCCACGCTCATCTTGCACACTCCCTCCCAGGCCCCTTGATGAACAAAGTTCCTCCATTTTGAAATGCCCTCCCCAACTATCCTACAATCTAAACCCTACCCTTAATTAATAATTAACTCCAGTGCTTCTCTCCCTGTGATCCTTCTTGAATGAACATTTATGTTTTTTATAGCAGTGAGCAGAGTTTTGCCTCCTATACTCCCCACAGCATCTGTTGGTGGGGGAAGGAGTGAATGTTTTATTAAAGTATAACAAACATACAAAGTATAGCATACAAAGTACAACAACATACATATAAAGTATACCAAAAGTACACAAAGTACACAAAAAATGTACAGATTGGCAAATGTACACAGAGAGGCCACACCTGGTAACCAGCATCCAGATTAGGAAGAGAACATTATCAGAGCCCCAAAACCTCCTCAGCGCCCCCTCCAGCCATTATTCCCCCACAAAAAGTATATTCTACTCTAATGTCAAACACCATAGGTTATCCAAAATTTTTGAAATCGATATGATTGGAATGATACAGCATGCATTTTGTGTCTGGCTTCTTTTGCTCAACATTATGTTTGTATGATTCATCTATAATGAGTGAAGGTGTAGTTCATTCATTCTCATTGATGTATAATATTCCGTTGCATGAATGTCATAATTTATGTATCTACTCTCTTGTCGATGGGCATTTGGATTATTTCCAATTTATAGCTATTGAAATAGTGCTGTTATGGACATTCTCATATATGTCTTTTGTAAACATACATACCCTTTTCTTTGCAGTATACAGCTAGTAGAAACACTGCTGGGTGCTAAGGGACAGGTCTGTAGAGCTTTTGTAGATAATGCCAGTTTTCCAAAATGGTTACAGCAAGCGACATTATCAGCCGGCAGGGTATGAGAGTGCTAGTTGCTCCACACCCCACTAACATTTGCCATTGTCTGTCTTTTTTAATTTTAACTTGTTAAGATCCCACAGTTTTGCTTATAAGTAACAGAAGAGTAGCAAAATGAGGCAAGTTAGCAGCCATGGCCACCTCTGTTCTGGTCTATCCCACTGGTTTAGTACAGGCCAAGGTGGTTCTTTTAGGGGCTGTTCAGAGTAGTCTGAGGGCAATACTCAATCCAAAAGGCTATGGTGATGTGCCTTAGTCTAGTCAGGGTCTACATAAGGGGCTCTGTTATGTTCTTAAGGGAAGGGGCTCACCTCCTGTGTATGATCCTGAAGGAAGTAAAGACAAATGGTTTCAAGTGGTTTCCAGAGTCCAACTGAAGGTGAATCTAAAAACGCTGAGTCCAAGACTCTAATGTCTCTGCCCTCTCTTTTTTTATTTTATTTTTAAATTGTGAAATATTCATTCGCACAAACACAATATAAATAATTTAAAGAGTACCAAAACCAATGATTGTATACTACCGTCCAATTTAGGAACTAGAACACTAGCAGCAGAGCTTAGAAACCTGGTTGTCTCTTCCTGATTATTCCTGTACCTCCCACAAGAGGTAATACACTGTCTTTGTCACATTGCCCTTACGTATGTATCCACAGAGGGTTAAAAAAGAGAACGTTCTGCATGATCCCATTCATATAAAACTCTAAAGAATACAAACTAATCTACAGGGACAAAGAGCAGGATCAGTGATTGCCTTGCGAGGGATGGTGGTGGTGAGCAGAGGGAGAGATTACAAGGAAGCACAAGGAAACTTGGGGGTAATGCATATGTTCATTAACTTTTCCCCAGCTTATTGAGATATGATTGACATATTACACTGTATGAGTTTAAGGCGTAAACATGATGATTTGATATACATATGTTTCATAAAATAATTACTACAATAACATTAGTTAATGCATCCATCACCTCATGTAGTTATTTTTTTTAGTTCTTTCTCTTTTTTCTTTTAAGCTTGATTCCTCCACCTTCCCACCGTGTAGTTACCTTCTGGTGTATGTGTGAGAACTTTTAAGATCTACTCTCTTAGCAACTTTCAAGTAAGTATACACTACAGTATTGTTAACTGTAGTCAGTCACCATCATACATATCTTCATTATCTTAATTGTGGTGACAGTTTCAGTGGTATATACATATGTCAAAATATATCAAATTACACTTTAAATATGTGTAGTTAGCTGTATGTCAATTACATATCAATCAGGCTGTTAAAAGTTTTTGGTGTAGGAAAAGAGCTACTTAAGAGTCTTTTAGTCTTGGCCAGATAGCTCAGTTGGTTAAAGCACTGTCCCAATACGTCAAGGTTGTGGGTCTGATCCCTGGTCAGGGAACATACAAGAAATCAACCAATGTACGCATAAATGAGTAAAACAACGAACCTCTCTCTCTCAAATCAACCAGTCAATCAATATTTTTTTTACTTTTTTAAAAGTATATTTTATTGATTATGATATTACAGCTGTCTCATTTCCCCTTTATTCCCCTCCACCCTGCACACCCCGTCCCACCCACATTCCCCCCCTTTAGTTCATGTCCATGTGTCAGAAGTTCTTTAGCTTCTACATTTCCCATACTATTCTTGCCCTCCCCCTGTCTATTTTCTATCTACCATCTATGCTACTTATTTGCTGTACCTTTTCCCCCGCTCTCCTCCTCCCACTCCCCTGTTGCTAACTCTCCATGTGATCTCCATTTCTGTGGTTCTGTTCCTGTTCTAGTTGTTTGTTTAGTTTGCTTTTGTTTTCGTTTTAGGTATAGTTGTTAATAACTGAGAGTTTACTGTCATTTTACTGTTCATATTTTTTATCTTCTTTTTCTTAGATAAATCTCTTTAACATTTCATATAATAAGGGCTTGGTGATGATGAACTCCTTTAACTTGACCTTATCTGAGAAGCACTTTATCTGCCCTTCCATTCTAAATGAAAGCTTTGGTGGATAGAGTCACTCTTGGATGTAGGTCCTTGCCTTTTATGACTTCAAATACTTCTTCCCAGCCCCACTTTGCCTGTAAGGTCTCTTTTGAGAAATCAGCTGACAGTCTTATGGGAACTCCTTTGTAGGTAACTGTCTCCTTTTCTCTTGCTGCTTCTAAGATTATCTCCTTATTTTTAATCTTAGGTAATATAATTACGATGTGTCTTGATCCATTCCTCCTTGAGTTCAACTTCTTTGGGACTCTCTGAGCTTCTTGGACTTCCTGGAAGTCTTTGCCAGATTGGGGAAGTTCTCCTTCATTACTTGTTCGAATAAGTTTTCAATTTGTTGCTCTTCCTCTTCTCCTTCTGGCACCCTATAATTCAGATGTTGGAACATTTAAAGATGTCCTGGAGGTTCCTAAGCTTCTTCTCATTTTTTTGGATTCTTGTTTCTTCATTCTTTTCTGGTTGAATGTTTCTTTCTTTCTTCTGGTCCACACCATTGATTAGAGTCCCAGTTTCCTTCCCATCACTATTGGTTCCCTGTACATTTTCCTTTATTTCACTTAGCATTGCCTTCATTTTTTCATCTAATTTGTGACCAAATTCAATCAATCCTGTGAACATCCTGATCACCAGTGCTTTGAACTGTGCATCTGATAGGTTGGCTATCTCTTCGTTGCTTAGTTCTATTTTTTCTGGAGCTTTGATCTATTCTTTCACTTGAGCTATTTTTTTTGTCTTGGCACGCCTACTACATAGTGAGGGGCGGAGCCTTAGGTGTTCACCAGGGCGGGGCAATTCATGTCGCTGGTTTGTGACGCTGTACATGGGGGAGGGGTTGAGAGGGAACAGCGGCACTTGCTCTGTTCTCTGCTGGATTTCAGTCACTTCCCCCACTTCCCACACACAAATTGGGCCCCTCTGGTGCTGATTCCCTGGGCGGGTGGGTTTGTGTACATTCTAGGACCTCGTGGGTCTCTCCAACGAACTCTCCTGTGAGGCTGGGAGTCTCTCCCGGCACCTCAACCCCCACAGGTGTTTTTAATCTGTGGTTTGAGGCTTTATTTCCCCGAGCTGAGACCCCAGGTTGCAAGGTCTATCTCGCTCCCGAGGTGTTCCTCCCGGTTTATCTGCAGGTGAATGTGATACTGCCAGCTCCACCAACTGCCGCCTCGCTGGGTCCACCAGCCACCACCTTGACCACCCTGATTCTCTGCCGCCGCTTTGCAGCAAGTCCTGTGTACCCAGCTGCCCGACTCCGCCCCTCCTACCAGTCGGGATGAATGTTTCTTCTTTAACTCCTTGTTGGATTTCCATACAGTTCAATTTTCTGTTGGTTCTGGTTGTTTTTTGTTTTTAAATTGTTGTTGTCCTTCTTTTGGTTGTGCGAGGAGGTATGGTGTGTCTACCTCCATCTTGGCCGGAAGTCCTCAATAATTTTTTTTTAAAGAGCCTTTTATGTCAATAATTCTCAACTGGATGACAGATAAACACATCTCTCTTTTTTTAATCCTTATCTAAGGACATGCTGATTGGTTTTAGAGAGAGGGGAAGGGAGGAAGAAAGAGAGGGACAGAAACATCGATTCACTGCCTTTCATAGGTGCCCCAACCAGGGACTAAACCTGCAACCCAGGCATGTGCCCTGACCAGGAATTGAACCTGCGACCTTTTGGTTTCCGGGATGATGCCCTTCCAACTGAGCCACACAGGCCAGGGCTGGATGAGTACATCTCTTCCAGGGAGGCATATAAGAATCACCTGTAAAACTTTTTGAAACTATATAGTTCTCCTTTACTGTCTCCCCAGGGATTCTGAAATATCTTCCACAGGAATGCAGCACCACTTAAGAGCAACTGCCATAGTAAGCTGAGGTGGATAAAAGGGCTGAGTACTGAACTTCATATACAGGTAGGAAGGGAGAGATGAAGAGAGAAAGGATGGGAAGGATACATCAGCAGGGTAGCACGGGTGACGAGGAGGGGATCAAAGGGTTCAGGAACAAGGGCGCCTCAACCACAGTCAGCTAGGTCCTTTGGTTTTGGACTATGAATATCGGTATGAGGATGGTGATGAAGACAATAAGGAAAATATACATTTGGTACCTGATGATGATGATGAAGCTGGATAACGTGCCTGTTCCTTCTACACACACCCCCCCATTCAGTCAGGCAGGCTAGTCGGCTGTGTGCCTCACCGCTTCAGGGGCAGTGTGGAGGGCAGTCCAACAGACTGTTGGACTTACGGGCCTCTTTGTCTTTGAAAAGCCTAAGATGACTGAGAACGAGATTTGTGAAAAGATGCAGAATAATGTAGAAAAGAAAGAGAGGGATAGTGCTTCTCCTCAGACTAGAAAGATATTTCCCTGGGCTTGCAGAAAAAAGAGAAGTATGTGGGTTCTCGAACAGTTGGAATCCTGGCATGGTTTCCTGGTAGCAGCCCTGGGAATAGGCAAGACCCAGAGAAATCAGTGAATATTATCATTTCCAGTTTTTAGATTATAAAAGAAAAGGTTTGGTGAAATGAATTAACTACCACAGTGACAAAAAAGATATTAAGTGGTAGAACTGGGACTTGCACCCAGTCAGTCAAGGATATCTCCTGACAAAGACACCTATCCTAGACACTGAGAAACCAAAATGAGTGTGTGTGTGTGTGTGTGTGTGTGAGTGCGCACGCAGGGGTGGGCATTAGAGAATACTACAATTTTGATCTCATTGTGAAAAAGCAACTACTTAGCATTTATGTCTAATTATTCTGCAAAATAATGCCTGTGACTAGAGAATAAGCCCAACTTTCCTATAAGCTTTTGGTCTAGGAATGATCTTATACCAGTCTAAATAGCCTTCAAGTTTTTCTTCTCACTGGGGCCCAAACCTGGACCATGAAATTTCCTGTTTAGAGATTAGAGACAACCTATCATTTTCTTCAGTTTCGTTCCTTTTCACGATTTCATGTCACAAATCCAACTCTCACACCCAGAAAACATTTCCAGGCTGGCCCAGAGTCACTCACCATCCAGCTTTTTCAGTTTGGGCACTCTCTTGGTTGCCTCTTCAATCCAGTTCCCCTCGGCAGAGTGTTTCTCTTCCAAGGGATTGCCTACAAACACCAGGTCTTCCAGGCACGGCAGATCTGCCAGCTTCACAAATTCAGCTACAGGTATAAAGAACACATTCCACATTAGAACAGCAGGTTTTTGCCCTGATCGGTGTGGCTCATTTGGTTGGGCATTGTCCTGCAGAGCGAAAGGTGGCAGGTTTGATTCCTGGTCAGGGCACAAGCCTGGGTTGCAGGTTCAGTCCCGATCAGGGCGTATACGAGTGGCAGCTGATCAGTGCTTCTCTCCCTTTCTTTCTCCTCCCTTCCCCTCTCTCTAAACATAAATAAATAAAATCATTTTTAAAATGGCAGATTTTACTGTTACAATTTTGGGGGTTGAATTCCAATATTACTGTTTGCAACTATTCAGAACAACTTGTTTAAGTTTTTGAAGGAAGTAGGGGAAGTTAGACCACATGGGGTGATTCTCTGAAAACATGACAGAAAGGAAGGGAAAAAGAAGACATTCCTCTTCCACCTTTGTGCTACCTTTATCCTTAGATAGGGTGAGAGGAGGAAGTGAGATTTACAATCAAAAAGAACAGCAAACTGTTCCCCAGTGACAGGTCTTCCCTAAGCTCTGTACTGTAATAGCAGGGGCTAAGCTAACCTGTCTCCACCCATTCCCTCCCTCCTCTTCGAATTCTTAAAGCAACTCATTGGAGCCTCCACTGCAGAATTTATCACACATTTTTACAATTATTAGCTTATAAACTAACCTTCCCCACTAAGCTGTGAATTCCTTGAGGGCAGGCATAGTGTCCTACACAACTGTGTATATCAAGAATCTGGTATGTAGTTATAGGCACAGAAAAAGGCTTTAGTACATGCTGTGTGAATAATGTACAATGAAAAAGCAAAGCAATATAAATGTCAAATAAGTCTTCCACACAAGAATTATTAAATTTAAACCAACTTTTTCCAGCCTTTGGACAATTAATCTTTTCATAATTAATAGGACCAGGATCTACTCAATTAAAATCATTCTACATAAATACTTAAATGTAAATGTCAAGCATTTAGCTGAAATACAGGAACTCCCACAGGTATGAGTACTTCCCTCTGTGCTTAGAAATAAATGTCTTTATTTTGCATCTTGTGCCCCGCTGGGCTCTTTTCTACAAATAGCAGGGAGAGGTTAGCAAAGAGCCAACCTCAGCTTACCCCAGTCTTTCACCAGGTTATTGGACATGTAGAGAATCTTCAGTTTCTTCATTACATGGATACCTTTCAACTTCTCAATAAAATTGTAGGAGATCCACAGTTCTTCTAATGTGTCCCCTACTGCTTCCTGAAAAAGAAATAACTTGATATACATGCTTATTTTTAAGCTTTTTTTCCTCCTTATAAACATAAAGACAATGGTCTTCAGAGAGAACTGAGACCCACCTGTCCCCTGGCAAGAAAGCTGAAGGCTGCGTGGGAGTTTTTTGTCGTTAAGAAAGCCAAGTAGAACATTCTGTTCCTTTCTTCAAACTGATCTGAACTAAGAATAGGTACTGAAATCACCAAAAGGGGAAACAATAGCACTATTTCATCACTTCTATTGAACAGTATAGTTTTCAAATTCCTTCCCTGTATATTTTATTATTTTATCCTTATAACAATTAAGATAGGCAAAGCAGGTTATTTGATTTCTACTATAGAGAACTTATGAACTTTTTCTAAGATCACAATGCTACAAAATAGTAGAGCTGGGTCTAAATATTTATTATGGAAACTTTCAAACATAAAAAAAGTTGAAAGAATTTTAAAGTAAATTCCCATATATATATTCACTACCCAGATTCTACCATTAACATTTTACTATCCCTTTCCTATCAAATATTTGTCCGTCTTCCATCCAACTAGCTATCCATTAATTCATCTTATTTTTTAATGTATAAATTTCAGTTTAACCCCTGGCTGGTGTGGTTCAGTGGATTGAGTACCAGCCTGCAGACCAAAGGGTCACTGGTTCGATTCTCAGTCAGGGCACATGCCTGGGTTGCAGGCCAGGTCCTCAGTTGGGGGTGTGTGAGAGGCAACCACACATTGATGTTTCCCTCTCTCCTTTCCCTTCTCTCTAAAAATAAGTCAATAAAATATTTTTTAAATTTCAATTTAAAACATAAAGTCTTCCCATTACAGTAAAAATATTACACCATGCTGACTCTTAACTGATATATATAATCAATAGTGGTCCAAAGACTTTCTTCTTTTATAGACATAAGACAAAATGTAGTAATTCTTTTTAAAAAAATGTTTTAAAAATATACTAGACAGGATCCATTAGATGTTCAGTCCTCTCTTAACCAGAAAGAATTTACCTTCAACCACACAGTAATGTCTAGAATGTGGAGCCCACACCTACTCCTAGTGAGCAACTGTCCCTTCAGAAACTCCAGAGAGAATACCTGTAGCCTGGATAAAGATCCCTAATGCATGCAGTGTCCACACTGGTGGACCCAAGGGGAGAAACTGAGACAGAAGTGGCCTGAGTTAGTCTTGTGTGTCATCCCAACTCCCACAATTCAGCTCAGTTTCAACTTTCTAAGTAGAAGAGGTAACAGTTTTAGAGTAAAAGAAGCTTTTAAACCTATCCACTCTGGCACACATAGAACTTTGCAATTTAACCAACCCCCCTCAGCTAATATTCTGATATCTTCTCCCCTGAAGTGACCTAATTAGTGTAGCATATGTCTTTCAGAAGAGGGGAATAAGCTTTCATATAATGTAAACTTTATTGCATGCATTTTAATTGCACTGCATCTGCACCCACATGTCCAATTTAGAAAGTGTGAGGTAGCAGGAAAAATACCAATTAAATACTGATAAGAAAATTTAGGTTCAGTCTGGGTTCTGCCACTTATTTACTGTTGCTTTTCCATGTGCAGATAAGGACTCTTGGTCAACTTTCATACACACAATTTGAGCAAGTCCCCAAATAGAATTTGCTGAATTTACTCTTTTACTGATTTACAAAAAAAACTGTTTAATTAGTTACAAATTATAGTAAATTTTAATTTTAAGCATATTTCATTGATTATGCTATTACAGTTGTCCCATTTTCCCCCCTTCTTTATTCCCCCTCCACCCTGCACCTCCCTACCCTCCAGCATTCCCCACTCCCCTTAGTTCATGTCCATGGATTGTACACATAAATTCTTTGGCTTGTCTATTTCCTGTACTATTCTTAATCTCCCCTGTCTATTTCATGCCTACCAGCTATGCTCCTCATTCCCTGTACTTCCCCAAAATTGTCTCCCTTTCCCTCTCCACAGAATCCCCTCCATGTGATCTCCATTTCTGTGATTCTGTTCCTGTTCTCATTTGCTTAGTTTTTGTATTTTAGGTTCAGTTTTTGATAGTTGTGAGTTTGTTGTCATTTTACTGTTCATAGGTTTTGATCTTCTTCTATTTCTTAGATAAGTCCCTTTAATATTTCATATAATAAGGGCTTGGTAATGATGAACTCTTTTAACTTTGACCTTATCTGGGGAGCACTTTATCTGCCCTTCCATTCTAAATGAAAGCTTTGGTGGATAGAGTCATCTTGGATGTAGGTCCTTGCCTTTCATGACTTCAAATACTTCTTTCCAGCCCCATCTTGCCTGTAAGGTTTCTTTTGAGAAATCAGCTAATGGTCTTATGGGAACTCCTGTATAGATAATGCTCTCCTTTCTTCTTGCTGCTTTTAAGATTCTCTCATTATCTTTAATCTTGGGTAACTTAATTATGATGTGCCTTACTGTGTCCCTCCTTGGGTCCAACTTCTTTGGAACTCTCTGGGCTTCCTGGACATCTATTTCTTTTGCCAGATTGGGGAAGTTCATCTTCATTATGTTCAAATAAGTTTTCAATTTGTTGCTCTTCCTCTTCTCCTTCTGTCACCCCTATGATTCGGATGTTGGTATGTTTAAAGATGCCCTGGAGGTTCCTCAGCCTCTCATTTTTTAAAAAATTCTTGTTTCTTCATTCTGTCCTGGTTGGATGTTTACTTCTTCCTTTTGTTCCAAATCATTGATTTGAATTCCAGTTTCCTTCCCTTTACTGTTGGCTCCCTGTATATTTTCTTTTATTTCATTTTGTATAGCCTTCATTTCTTCCTTCATTTTGTGACCATACTCAATCAAGTCTGTGAGCATCCTGATTACCAGTGTTTTGAACTCTGCACCAGATAGTTTGTATATCTCCTTGTCGCTTAGCTCTTTTTCTGGAGCTTTGATCTGTTCTTTCATTTGGGCCATATTTCTTTGTCTTGGCACACCTGTTATGGTGTAAGGGGCAGAGCCTTAGGTGTTCATCAGGGTGGTACAACTCTCTTTGCTGTGTTGTGGCGCTGTCTGTGGGGGAGGGGTCACAGATGGAACAATGCTACTCGCTCCACTCTAGCCCCACTTTCCAATGAACTCTCCTGTGAGACTGGGAGTTTCTCCCATCTTCACAATCCCATAATATTTTACAGCTAGAGGTTTTGAATCTTTAGTTTCCCAGTCAGCCAACCCCGCCTCACCCACGTGGTCTGTCACCTTGTCAGGGGTCCTCTCTGCTCTGGCTGCCAGTCTCTGCCCCTCCTACCAGTCTGGATGAATGTTTCTTAAACTCCTTGGTTGTTGGAATTTTGTACAGTTTGATTTTCTGGCAGCTCTGGTTGTTTATTGTTTTTAAATTTGTTGTTATCCCTCTTTTGGTTGTGTGAAGAAGTGAAATATTTCCCTGGCTGGCGTAGCTCAGTGGATTGAGCGCGGGCTGGGAACCAAAGTGTCCCAGGTTCGATTCCCAGCTAGGGTACATTCCTGGGTTGCAGGCCATAACCCCCAGCAACCGCACATTGATGTTTCTCTCTCTCTCTCTCCCCCTCCCTTCCCTCCCTAAAAATAAATAAAATCTTAAAAAAAAAAAAAAAGAAGTGAAATATTTCTACCTATGCCTCCATCTTGGCTGGAACTCCTTCACAAAGTATAGTAATTTGTTTTTGATAGGATAGAAATTGTTTTAAATAGGATAACTTTGAAGATGTCGGTAATGCTTCATTAGCTCACTAAAGTGTTTATTTTGTTTCAGTTTAGCTTTCAGCCATTTGGATGCAGTTCTTTTGCCATAACCAAGTTTCACTGCATTTGGTGACTTTTCTTTACTTGAGAATAGGATTTTGTGGGACAAGAATTTCTTATACATATTGACTTACAAATGTTATATCAATTTTGAATGCCCAGAGTACAGTTATGTCTTTCAGTACATTTTAAATCTATCCCACTGTCTTTTGTACTTCCCTAAAGATAACGATTTGCTAACCAGCTCAATTAGATTACTATTTTTATGTGTTTTAATAAGTTGAGAAGTGATTAGTGCCTAAAATATGAAACTGACATTCTATAAAGATGGGCTGACAAATCCCACAGCTGGATGAAACAGCTGCCTTAACATGAACACAAAACAAAACCTTAAAGATAATTTTAAAATGTGTTGAAACCAGTCTAAGCAACATAATTTTCTATGTATTTATAACTAGGTAATAAAGACAATACTTTTAAAAACGATTTTGGTGAAGCAATCTGGTAAATGTCAATCAGTAAAACCTGGCTAAGTTTGTGTAAATCAAGTCAGTGAAACCTGTCATTCAATAAACTGGCCCTTTGGTGAACTGGATAGTGAGTGAACAGGCATTTAGCAAATTGGTTTGCTTTCTGCAAGTGAACAAATAATTTCTCCTTAGTTTCTTACTCTGTAAAATGAGGAGGCTGGTACATTGAGAGACTGCCTCACACTCATTAGGATGATGGCTACTATCAGACAGACAGTGGAGGATGTGGAGAAGCTGGAACCCTTGTGCGCTGTTGGTGGGAATGTAAAATGGTGCAGGGGCTATGGAACAGTTCCTCCAAAAATTAAAAATATATGTTACAGAAATCCCAGTTCCAGGTATATAACCTAAAGAATGAAAAAAAGAGTTTCAAAGAGATATTTATAGCCATGTTCAGAGCGGCATTATTACAATAGCCAAAAGGTGCAGGCAACCCAAGTGTCGTCAGTGGATGAAGGAATTAATGAAATACAGCACATACACACAGCTTATTCATCCTTAAAAAGGAAAGAGGTTCTGATACATGCTATCATGGGTCAAACTTGTATGTTGATAGTAGGGAAAACTGTACAGCTATTTTCAAAGAATGCATTAAATCTGCTTGTTTTGACATAAAAAAATATTACTGATACACAGAGGTAGGCACAAGTAGGTTTACAGTTGTGAGTATGTGAAACACAAGAGTTTATTCTTGTATTATTATTTATTTATTTATTTATTATTATTATTATCAACCTACTTTTGCCTACCCTTTATTGAGTGAAAAATAAGAAAACATATATTAACCTTGTATACCATAACACAAACATATATAACACACATGTGTTTATACATATACACAGATATCTATTTGTATTTGCACAGAAAAAATATTAAAATATACAAAACAATATTATTTCTGTTACTCATGGAGTCAGTGAAGTGGAAGGGAGAAAAAAGACTTTCACAGTGTATTTCATATATTTATGAATTTGCTTGATTTGTTTTTTTACAATTAACATATATAACTCTTAGAATTAAAATTTTAACCTAGTAGTTATTTTTTTCATCCTCATCCGAGGATATGCCCATTGATTTTAGAAAGAGAGAGAGAGGAACATCGATGTGAGAGGGAAAATCAAGCCTCCCCTAGGCACCCAGTCGGGGATTGAACCAGCAACTCAGGCATGTGCCCTGACAGGAACTGAACAACTTTTGGTACACAGAATGACATTCCAAACAACTGAGCCCCCAGCCAGGGCTAACCTAATAGTTTTTATAATTAGTAATAAAATATACTGAGTCACTCAATAAATATTTATAGAATGCCCACTACATGTATCAAGCACTGATGCAGATGCTGATGAACAAAACTGACCTGCTCATTAGGATTTGTGTGTGCAACAGAGAGAGACAGAGGGTGGGCAAGCAAGTGGGAGAACAAACCGATAAAAACTTCAGATAGTAATAAGATAGTCGAAATAGATATTGATAGATGTAGATATACATAGACATACAGATGTACATAAATATAGATGTAGATGCAGAGTGGTCGCCTAGGGAGCTACATCAGATATAGGGTAGTTGGGTCACTTTTGAGGAGGTGACATCTGAGCTGAAGTGAGGAGCCAGTAATGTGGAAGTTCAGAGTAACAAAGAGGTTTTTAGGCAGAAGAAACAGCAAGTGCCAAGGGCCTCAGGTGGGAATAGACTTGGCATGTTCCAGGAGAGAAAGAGGGCCAGTGGCTGCAGATCACCAGCTAGGACGAAGAGTAATACAAAATGAGATCCGAAAGAAAGGCTAAGGCCAGATCATCCATACAAATGGGTTTATAATGTACCTTAATAATTAGTTTTCCAGTAGTTTTAAATAGACACCTTTCATTCAGTTTAACATTTCATGTTTCACAGATTAGAGTGGTCATGTGTAATTTACTGAGGCAGCTGTTTAAATCATGCTATAAGACTAGTGTGTCTAGATGAATAAATCAGTTAGTATGTGAACCTATTTGAAGCCCAGCATTTGTATTTCTAAGCTGATTTTTCTTTAGTTTGTGCATAAGTAGTAAAGCTTTTGGACTGGTAAAGTGTTGTTTTTGGTGTATGTATGATGTATGTATATACACACATACACACATTCTGGAAAGAACACCAAAGGTTGGGTGTTATTGATAGTGTACAGAAAGTGAAGAGATCTAAGCAAGTGATGGTGCAGCTAGACGATACCTCCATACGTGTCTTTAATCCTATATTTATAATTTCTGTGTGGTTTCTAGGTATATATTACATTTCATGGGAGAAATTACATACTATAGCAATACTTGAGAATCTGGAATTCTGAAAATATCTGAACAGATATTAAGCCTCCCTATCAAATTGATCCTAAAGATTCTGGGATACATTCATTTAAAAATCCTTCCCTTATAAATAATTCAAAATCATAGTTAGTCTGAAGTATAATAAATTCTTATTTTTTGTACTATAATTTAATATTTTATATATTATGAATACTGTCCCTATATTTGACATTTTTTACCATCTATGCTCAGAGAATGTAGAGAAAGCAAAGTATCTTTAAATATACCAATCATTTAGAACACCAAAAACATTTTTTTATAGATCATTAAATATTTACTCATCATAGCCAACTAGAAAGCAAACAATTCATCTATTGGTTATCATTTTGGAGGGGAAAACTTCCTTTATTTAAAAATGTAATCTCTAAGAATTTCTAAGCATTTTGCCCTGACCCGTGTGTCAGTTGGTTGGAACGTCATCCTGTAACGAAAAAGTTGTGGGTTTAATTTCTGGTCAGGGCACATACCTAGGCTGTGGGTTAAATCCCCAGTCCGGGCACCTACGATCCCCATTCTGGGCACTTACGGGAGGCAACCAACCGATACTTCTGTCTTGCATCAGTATTTCTCTCTCCCTTCCTCTTTCTCTAAAAAGCAATGAAAAAATGTCCTCGGGTGAGGATTAAAAATAATTATATATAAAAAAAAGAATCTCCGAGCATTTTATAAATTCATCAGTAAAACATTACATAAATAGACATGTAGAAATGGGAATATTATTCAGATCATTCAAGATAATTCCAAAATTGCTTCTCTGAACACTGACCCCTATTTAGGCATTACAGCTCCTCCTGTAATGGGGGATGGTCACTTCAGCCCGTCTCACCTTGGGATGTCCTTGTTGGGAAGCCCCGCAGTTCCAAGCCCACTGGCTCTTATCAAGCACAGCTGGACTTAATGGGAAGTGGAGAAGGAGGCCAGAGTCATAAAAAATTTCAGAATGTTTATGAAAGACTTTCAATACTTTTACAAAAAACATTCCATACTTTTAAAAAAGTATTGTCTTTTTGGGAACAGGTACAAGAAAAAGAAATCAGCTTCATCTTTCCTGAAATTTCCTAGTATTACAATATTATTTCATTTCAGCTTCTTTGCAAGAAAATTCAAATGGCCAGTAAATATATAAATAAAAATATATGGTCCACTCCACTGTAAAAAACTATAAGAAGTTTTAAATTTCCAAGTTTGGTAAGGGGAAATGGAAACCCTCATACATTACAGGTGGGAGTATAAATTGTTACAAACTTACCAAATGCCAATTAGATGAAATGTCATAAAAGCCTTTAATTCATACCTTTTGACCCAGCAATTCCATTTCAAGGAATTATTCATAGATGTGTGCAATAATATAGCTAAAAGGAGATTCATAACAGTATAGATTATAACTCCAAACTGAAAATAATGAATAAGTAACTGATTTATTTATTTATTATAATTATTTATTGATTTATTGATTTTAGAGAGAGGGAAGGAGGAAGGGAGAGAGAAAGAGAGAAACATCAATTTGTTGCTCTACTTATTTATTTACTCATTGTATGATTCTTGTATGTGCCTTGACTGGGGATCGAACCTGCAAACTTGGTGTATCGGGACAAGGCTCTAACGAACTGAGCTACCTGGCCAGGGCAATAAATAACTGAATTTAATAAATTATGGTACATCAATAAAATATATTATTATACTGTCATTAAAAAGGGGTATTGGTTGAAAATTATTTAAAAAACTTAAGTCACATCCACTGATCAAAAACTTCCAATAGTTTTGCAAACCAATTGGAAAAAAATCTAAAATCTTATGATCTATAATGCTCAGTGTGACCTCCTGGTTCCTGGCTTCCTTGCCAGCCTCACTGAGGATAATTCTCCCTCTCTCATTCAACTCTTTTGCTCTCAGTGTCAGTTTCAGGACACTTGCACTTGCTGTCTCACCTCAGCCTCAATTACTCATCCCTTGGTCAGCTCCGCAGTTCACATCCTCTCTTCCAGAGAGAACTTCCCATCACTCTGTGCTCTCTTACATGCCTCATTTTTCTCCACCGCATTCATCACCACCTTATGTGTTATACAGTTATGTTCTAGTCTGCCTGCCTCCACTGTCATGTAAGTTCTAAACAGCAAACACTTTGTTTTATACTCATTCTGCTCTGTCTCTAGTGCCTAGAACAGCAGTACCTGGCTTAAAGTAGACATTTAGGAAACATTATTGAATTAATTTGTTGAATGAGTGAATGACATGGAAAAACAATCTCCATATAATAAGTAAAAAAGATGCAAAACACTAAGTATAGTATGATTTCATTCTCTACATATCCATTGAAGAATAGGAAAAAAGGCAAGGAAGATGTCAGTCAAAATGTTAGCAGTATTTAAATTGTCAGTGGCTTATAGATATTTTTAATCATTGCTTTTCTACTTCGTAAAGTTTCTGCAATGGACAAGTATTATTTTTATACTAAGAAAAAAGTGTATGCTTTTTTAAAGTAATAAATAGCAACCTACCAGTCCATTTAAGTTCTTTATGTTGTTTCTTCCTAAAGACAATATCCTCAAGTTTTCTGTAGTGGAAAAAAAGCAATTTTTTGTTTATGAGAATCATATTACATAATTATAAATATAGAATAATAAGGTTTTAATAAATTTTATATAAAGATTCTTATATAATGAGTCAGAACGGCTATATTAATAAAAAGTGGTCATCAAGTAGGAAATAACACTCACTGACCTATCATCTAAGGTGAACACTACAAGTATAATTTCACATCATGCCAATATTAAATTTAAAAATTATTAGCTATTTGGGATGCATGGCCTTAAACTGATAGCTAGTGAAAATATTAGAGGGATAAACAAGAGCAAAGAAAATATGAACTTCAGATTTGAGAGCATATATATACATTTCACATTTCTTATAGTACGAGGACTCAGACTCGAAAACAAGTATATTTATGTATAGTATACCCCACTCCACAAAGGATTAGAAGTGAAATCAAATGAATTAATATTTTAAAAATCTTTTGCCTTCAATCTTTTTAAAAATTAGATTGTGATTTGGTTTAAAAGATGCCTATTTGTATTTTTTACGAGGATGTTTCTATTTGCGTATGGACAGGCTATTTCTGGAAGAGAGAAAGAAGAAACAGCGGTTGCTTTGCGGGAGGAACTGAGAGTGCACGGTGAGAGGAAGACGTTTTTCATTGTAAACTCAACTATTTGCATAAAACCATGAGCATGTATTACTTTTTAAAATTAAAAAAAGATTTCTAGTAAAACACAGAAAATCTAATTTCTGTTCTAAAAAAGTACCGTGATTACTTATGTATAAGTTATACATTTAGGTTCCACAACTTAAACTTCTGTAACTATACTGTCCGATACAGTAGCTACTAGCCACATGGCTAGTTAACTTAATTAACATGAAACAATTAAAATTCAGTTTCTCAGTCACACTAGCCTCACATCAAGAGTTTTAATAGCTGTATATGGGTAGTAGCAACTGTTTTGGGACAGTGCAGACAGTTCTATTGGGTGGCATTGTTCTGTAACACCCATAAATCACCAATTAACTGAGCTCTAATCCCAAATTTCAAGAGAAATGATCAAACCTCTTTGAGTCTTAGTTTCATCACATGTAATATGAGGAAATATAATATCTATTTTTTTAGATTTTATTTATTTTTAGAGAGGGGAAGGGAGGGAGAAAGAGAGAGAGGGAAACATCAGTGTGTGGCTGCCTCTTATGTGACCCCCACTGGGGACCTGGACCGCAACCCAGGCATGTGCCCTGACTGGGAATCGAACCAGCGGCGCTTTGGTTCACACCCCACGCTCAATCCACTGAGCTATGCCAGCCAGGGCTATAATATCTATTTTATAAGCATATAAGAATTGAGACAATTGTCTAAAACATTCAGCCTAATGCTTTATCCATGGCAAGTACACAATAAGTGGTGTTTGTGTCTGTATCAGACATGTATAGTTACATAAATGTTGGTTTTAATTTATTTAATAATTATTTCAAATTCTCTTATGAGAAACATTTAACTTTTTAAAAATATTTTATTTATTTATTTTTAGAGCGAGAGGAAGGCAGGGAGGAAGAGAGGGAGAGAAACATTAATATGAGAGAGAAACACTGATCGGTTGCTTCTCATGTGCACCCTGACCGGGGACCAAATCTGCAACCCAGGTGTGTGTCCTGGCCGGGAGCTGAACCACAGAGGTCAGGGCACATTTAACTTTCAGAACAAGGAATTTCAAAAGTGATCTAATCTATGCAAAATGATTTAACTATTGAAACAGGACTCCATGTTATGGGCAGGATTGGGTCCCCCCCAAATTCATATGTTGAAATTCTAAACCCCAGTCCCTCAAAATGTGATGCTATTTGGAAACAGGGCCTTTAAAGAGATAATTAAGATAAAATTAGATTGTTTTAGGTAAAATCCAGTGTGACTGGTACCCTTACAAAAGGAGACAGGACACAGACAGAAACACAGGAAAGACCATGTGAAGACGAAGGGAAAGACGGCCATCCACAAGCCAAGGAGAGAGGCCCCAGGAGAAATCACTCCTGCCGACACTTTGATCTCAGACTTCTAGCCTCCACAGCAGAGAAAATAAATTCCTGTTGTGGGATTTGTTATGGCAGCCCTAGCAAACTAATAAATCTATATAACTATAAATGTGGGAAAATTAAATATTTAAGAAAATCACATAATAATTTTTCAAAGTTTCTTCATATGGAAAAATGACCATTTTTTCCTACTTCATGCAAGATAAAATGCTTATTCAAAAAATTATTCATTCAACACATAATTATTGAGTATCAACTGTATGCCAGGAATAGCACTAAGCACTTGCACTATAACAGTGAACAATACAGCTAACAATCCTACTGTCATAGAACTATCATTTGACAGCTGGTAAACAAAATAAATAAGTATATTAGATAGTGATGAGTGTGAAAGAGAAGAAAAGCAGATAAAAGAAATGAAATGTCAAAGGACTGGGAACAGCTGACATTTTAGGTAGATGATGACTTCTAAGTAAAGACTCAAAAGAAGTAAGGCAGCGAGTCATGAGAACAGATGGAAGGAGGACATTAACAGACAAGCAGAACTTCAAGCGTAAAGGCTATGAGACAGGACCACATTTGAAGTCTTCACAAAACACAAGAAGCTAGCTGAGAGAACAAGAGGAGAATAATCGATGAAATTAGAAATAGGCCTTTTATAGAGGATGTATGAGGAGAAGTCAGGAAATTACCAGAGTTTGGCCTAAGCAACTGAAGAATGGACTAGTCACTGAGAGAGATAGATAAGAAGCTGGTTTAGCTGGGGCTGTGGAAGGACTTTTAGGACTTTTGAACATGTGAAGTCTGAGATGTCTACTAGGCATCTAAGGGAAATATCAGGCAACTGGATATGTAAATCTGGAGGTCAGAGGAGACACCTGGGCAGAGATATAACTTTGGAAGCCATCAGCATATAGATGGTAAAGCCATGATTTGGAAGAGATAATCAGACTAGGGAGTCGGGGAAGATAAAAAAGAGACCCAAAAATTGAATCCTGGGGTACTCCAACATTTAAAAGTTAGGGACATGCGACTGGGAAGAAGTAGCCAGAAAAGCAGGAAGAAATCTGGAGGGTACAGTGTCCAAGAAGCCAAATGCTGAAATTGTCTCAAAGAGGAAAGAAATCATCCGTCAAAATACACTCATAGGTCAACTAAGATGGGGACTGATAAATGACCTCAGAAATTGGAGATAACAAATATATGCCACCTTTCAAAGATCTAAGTATTTAACTTAATGTGTAAAAACTCCTTTTAAAAAGTGAACATGAAACTGGTATCAAAAGACTAAAAAGATTTTATTTATTGCTATATAGGGAAATAAATTATAATATCAAAGTTAATAGATTAAATGTTCTAACATAATACAATGATATATTTTCCATAGTTTATATGTTGTATAAGTAGAGCACCACTATAAGGAAAACAGTTTTTCTTTTAAGGAATTTATTTAATTTTTCTTTTTTTTTTTTTAAGATTTTATTGATTTATTTTTAGAGGGGGAGGGAGAAAGAGAGGAAGAGAAACATCAACGCATGGTTCCCTCTCATGCGCCCGCTATTGGGGACCTGGCCCAAAACCCTGGCGTGCGCCCTGACCGGGAATGGAACCAGTGACCTTTTCACAAGCCGGCACTCAACCCACTGAGCCACACTAGCCAGGGTTTTATTTATTTTATTTTTTTTTTAATTAATTATTTTAGAGAGAGGAGAGAGAAAGGGAAACATCGGTTTGTCAAATGTATTTATGCATTCATTGGCTGATTCTGGTACATGCCCTGACTGGAGATGTTGCTTCTTGTATGTGACCGACTCATGATCTAACCTGCAACCTTGGCGTATCAGGATGACTCTCTAACCAATTGAGCTACCTGGCCAGAGAGGAAAACACTTTTTCTTTAACAAGTTCCTGATGAAAATGAAAAAAGTGTCTTAAAGTTTATTTATTTATTTAGCAAATGGAAGGAGTATTTTGCCAAAGATACAAGGCAACAAAATTTATGTTCTAATCTTTAACATGAGATTATTACTATTCACATTGTACAGCTTTTTAGTCACAGTTTTGAACATAGTGACATTATGCAGTCTTCCAGTCGCAGTTTTGGTACCATAAATAGAAATTGCCATCGGGTCATTCTGCCTTACAAAGCTCTTGTTGAACAGTAATGCCTCTGTATTTCAGGTCCTCGCACCGTGGCGCAGCAGGCGAGACTACAGTGCTCGTGAAGGGAAAGGGCTGGGCGGCAGCCAGGGTCATATATTCAGTCCTTCACGTGGACGAGCTGGTTTCTTTTTGCTTCCTGGTCACAGGTTGCAGAAGTACCATTTGTTACAAGCAGAACTAAGATGAGATGAAGCAAGTATAGCAAATGCATGATACAAATGCCTATACTCTCTTATTCCATGCCTATGTCAGACATCAATCATTGATCAAAGTACTCTTCCACTGAATTTTGGGAACTCTTTTTAATACAACTTTCCCGAGAGTCATTACCAATTGAACGAAGTTAGAATACGAGCTAAAACGCAATGCCTGCCCTACATAGGTTATCCATTTTCACTATTGCCATAGTCATGTTCTTGTGAAAAGAAAAGCATGTCATCTATATTGATAAATGTTATCAATTTTGTCTCTTTTAAGAAAGTTATTACAGTTACCCTACATAGGTTATCCATTTTCACTATTGCCATAGTCATGTTCTTGTGAAAAGAAAAGCATGTCATCTATATTGATAAATGTTATCAATTTGGTCTCTTTTAAGAAAGTTACTACAGTTACAGAAAAAGGAAAGAGTGAAATGAAACATCTCACATTTTCTAATGAGTCACTGAAAAATTGGAATAGATTGAGTCATCTTATGCACAGCTTTAAAGGAAAACATTTCCTCTCCAGTACTATATAAGGTACTGGGGAAGATGGAAATTTGGAATAGAAGATAAATAGGTTAATAAAATGTAATGCTTGCTCCGAAGGAGTTCATTATCTAAAGAGACAGAACATAGTCCTCGCCTACTTTAAACACGAGCATTTATATGTACCAAGCACTATTCTAAGTCTTTTATATACACTAACTCATTTATTATTCATAATAGTTATGAAGTAGGTCATTATTATTATAATCCAAAATAAGTCTATTTAAATGTTTGCAAAGAACGATTAAGTATGATGATGGAGATTAGAGAAGTCTTTAGAGAGAGAAGTGACATTTAAACTTGGCATTATTAATCTTAATTTTGTTTTTTGAAGGATTTTCCTGTTAGAGGAACGGGCTGTTCTCAATGAAAAGCACTGCAATTGACAAGCGCAGTGTCATAAAAAAGAATGACGTGCTGTGGTGTGAACAGCGTGGTGCAAGCTTTGAGACGGCTCTGAATGCAACGTTAGGGCAGGTGGTCTTTACCAGGCCAAGGGGTGCCATTGAGGTCTCTGATCTGGAGAAATGAGAATGAGAATAATATGTTTAGAAAGAAAACTCTGGTGTCAGTGCTGAAGGTCAACTGAAGAGCAGAAAGAAACGGAGATCAACTAGGAGGCCATTACAAAGGTCGTAAGGCAGTGTTTTTCAATGTATGTGTGAAATCAACTTAGTGGGTTGTGAAAAACATTTAAACAAAATCAATTTTTAAAAATTTATACTAGAACCTATGCTATAAAGGTAAATGTTGTTTAGCAACTTGATTCCAATTCATATGTCTATGTGTATATTTGATCTGTATATTCATATGAATACATATATGTACTGACTCATAAGTTCAAATATATTTCTTACTGTGAAAAGTAGTCAAAAACATTTGAAAGCCCTTACTGGTGTGGTTCAATGGGCTGGGTGTCATCCTGTGAACCAAAGAGTCACTGGTTCAATTCCCAGTCAGGGCACATGCCTGAGTTTCGGGCCAGGTCCCCAATTGGGGGCATGTGAGAGGCAACCAGATGTCTCTCACACATCAATGTTTCTCTCTCTTTTTCCCTCCCTTCCCTTCTCTCTAAAAATAAATAATAAAAAAAATTTGGGGGGTAAAAAGCCCTGGCTGATGTGGCTCAGTGGATTGAGTGCCAGCCTGCGAACCAGAGGGTCACTGATTCAATTCCCAGTCAGGGCACATGCCTGGGTTGTGGGCCAGGTTCCCAGTAGGGGGTGCTCAAGAGACAACCACACACTGATGTTTCTCTTCCTCTTTTTCTCCCTCCTTTCCCCTCTGTCTAAAAGTAAACAAAATCTTTAAAAATTGTTTTGGAAAGAAATACAATAACAAATGTTTAAGTAAAAAACAAAGTTTGTTAAACACCATTTAAGGGGGATGGTTAGAGTCTAAATTAAAACTCTAGCTCCTGGAATTTATAAAAAAGCAACATGTTGCCCTAGATGGTGTGGCTCAGTTGGTTGGGGCATTGTCTCCTATACCAAATCATCGATGGTTCCATTCCCATTTAGGGCACATATCTGGATCGACTCGATCCCCTATGGCAGGCAACCAATCAGTGTTTCTCTCTCTCTTTCTTCCCCCCTTTCTAAAATAAAAAAAATAAAAACTTTTTAAAAAAGCAACATTATTATTTGAGAGCTCTTTCAAAGAGTAGAGTTAATAAGACTTAGTGATGAACTTGGATGTAGGGCTTGAGGGAAGTAAAGGGAGAATGTGGTAGGAGAAATTATGGCTCACCAAAAGACACCTATATCCTAACCCCTGGAACCTGTGAATGTTGCCTTCTATGGGGAATAAGTACTTTGCAGATGTGAATAAGTTAGGAATCTGAAGATAGGGGGGAGAGTATCCTCAATTGTCCAGGTGTTCCATAAATGCAGTCACATGTATCCTCAAAAGAGAAAGAGCTGACACAGACAAAAGAGAAGGCAATATGACCACAGAGGCAGAGACTGGAGTGATGTAGTCACAAGCCAAGGAACGTGGCAGCCATCAGAATCCAGAAAAGGCAAGGAACAGATTCTCCCCTAAAGCCTCTAGTGGGAGGGTGGCTCCGTCAAAAACCCTGATTTTGGCCAGTGAAACTGATTTCAGACTTCTGACTTCCAGAACTATGAGGGAATAAATTTCTGCTGTTTTAAGCCATCAAGTTTCAGTAACCATAGGAAACTAGCACAGGAGTCAGAGGCCTTAGCACCTGGGTAGGTGGCAATGTCACTAACATTTGTTCGTGCACAGGAAAAACAAGGATGGTTAGAAATGAGATTTTAAATATAACAAGTATGACTGCCCTGGCTGGTGTAGCTCAGTGGGTTGAGCGTGGGCCTATGAACCAAAGGATCAAGGTTCGATTCCCAGTCAGGGCATATGCCTGGGCTGCAGACCAGTTCCCAGTAGGGGACACACGAGAGGCAACCATACATTGATATTTCTCTCCCTCTCTCCTTCCCTTCCCCTCCAAAGATAAATAAATAAAATATTAAAAATAAATAAATAAAACAAGTATGAAACAAAAGACAAATCTGATCAAATATATTTTAAAAATCTGATTTCTTAAATTTAAGATATCTCAATTCTAACCCTGTCCAAGCTTTAAAATCTCTTTAAAATGTTCAGATTTCACTCTGTCATCTGACAATTATTACAGTTAAAACAGATGCAAGCTTCTGGGATTACGTAGTGTGCCTGGAATGTTTATTCCAATAATGAGAAAATCCAGGAACCATCTGTTATGGTGGATCACTTACTTAAGCCATTCAGATTGGCAATCTTCTCAATGCAGTTTGTAGACAGTGAAAGCTTCCTTAGAAAGAACAAAGAAAAACTTGAGTTAATATTAAAAAATGTTAAATGGTATGTCAGAAATTATTTCTCCAGTTCCCATTCAAGATACGATATTTAAGTCATACTTCCTTTTGACACTGAATCCTTTCTTTCCCTTCAGACATGGCATGTATTCCATGCCGTGTTGGAAATCTTCATGGTTTTTTTCTGGTTACAAAAGTTAATACATACCATTAACGAGTAGAAATTAAGAAAAAAACTTTTTGAGGGCAATCTGATGTTATCTATTAAATTTTTTAGAAAGATTTCATTTATTTATTTTACACAGAGGGGAAGAGAAAGAGAAAGAGAAAGAGAAAGAGGAGAGAGAGAAACATCAATGTGTGGTTGCCACTTGCGCACCCCATAGTGGGGACCTGGCCCACAACCCAGGCATGTGCCCTGACCGGGAATCGAAGTGGCAGCCCTTTAGTTCACAGGCCGGCTCTCAGTCCGCTGAGCCACACCAGCCAGGGTTCTATTACATATTTTAATGCATGTATTCTTTGAGCCAGTAATTCATTTCTAGGAATACATCCTATTGAAATACTAATGCAAATACCAAAAGTTATATGAATTAGATTATTGATTGTATTATTGCAATAGCAAAAAATAGGGGGAAATGTCTATAAGCATCCATCACTGAGGAATACTATGCTGCCACTGAAATGAGACTGGGCTACAGAGGCCAACTTGAGAAGCTGTCTATGATACGTAGTTAAGTTTTAAAACCACCTCGCAGAATGACACATTTTATATGATCCCTTTTTGTGAAAAGCAGCACTATACATATGAAAGTATGGAAATATTTATTTTCTCATGTGTTAAATTATTCAGAAATGTGTATTATAAGAAATCATATGTAATCCTAATCACCCCCCCTTTCCTCCAGAGATAACTGTTTTAATAGTTCATATATATTTATCTAGATTTTTCTATACATACTTTAATTATATAAAAACATTTTTAAAGGGAACATAATTACACATTTTTAGTCTTCCTTAAAACCCAAGAAATTTGCCCTGGCTGGTATGGCTCAGTGGTTGATTGCTGGCCTGTGAATCAAGAGGTCGTGGGTTCAATTCTCAGTCAGGGCACATGCCAGGGTTGCAGGCCAGGTCCCCAATTGGGGACACTCGAGAGGCAACCACACAGTGATGTTTCTCTCCCTCTCTTTCTCCCTCCTTTCCCCTCTCTAAGAAATAAATAAATAAAATCTACAAAATAAAAAATTTGTGTTAACTCTCCAACACTTGATCCTATCCTTTCTGATTTCACTTGAAGAGGAATTATTTATCTTTTTACTTGAATCAGCAAAGTCAAGTACTGTACAATGTAAATTACTGATCAAGTCTGTATATCTTCTAGTCATTCCCCACTCCTGAGAACTGCTAGTGAAAAATTGAGTACCTTAAATCTGGGAATATGGTGGGGGAACACATTCTTTAATTGTTTAGGCAACTGGAAGGATGAATAAAGATGAGAACTTACTCGCAATTAGCAAGCATGGACAAGGATGCATCCATCTTCTCTATAGGGGGGATCTGGGCATAAAGCTTTATCTCCTTGGCTTCAGATGGCTTCTGACTGGCTTTCTCTTCCTGTAACAAAAATTAATTTGGAAGAAGGTGATGCCTGATTGTAATGTGGAGTTAAAGGAGGCTAGAATTTCATAAGGCTTTTCAATCTTTGTTTCAAAACAACTATTAGAATTTAGTGATTCTGTGCATTCTTTACAGTTCACTTATTGACCTTTACTTATTGACTCTGACGAGCAGGCTTCTATATGACCAACCAAGACAATTCACTGTTAGGGCCCAACCAGATGGGGCAAAACGAAAGAAAGAAAATGATTTATGTAACATTTAAAATCCCTTAAGCGCCTATTGATTAATAAACCTAGGCAAACACAGACATTTGCCTGGGAAGAACTCCTTGTCCTAAAACAACCTTTCCTTAGATTTCAGACTCAGACCTGTACGACCCACTGCTCCTGTCATCTCATCTGTTTCTATACGTAATTCAGTCTGGGCCACAACCCCAAAATACCGAGAATTTTGGGAGATATTCTCTTTGCAACACAGCTGTGGACAAAACTATTTTCTCTGCAGTAATTTACTACTGAATTCAACCTTAGAGATTAATTTTGGTGCTAAGTACGCAATTTAAAATTTCATTAACAGTATATGCTGCCAAATATTTTCTAAGTATATCACAACCAGAATACTAATGTTGATACAACCCACTGATTTACATCAGATTTCCCAATTTTGTCTGTACTCATTTGTACTTATGAGTGTGAATGTGTTTGTACAGGTGGATTAAGTTCAATACATCTTTACAGTTGTATTGTATCCACCCCCACAGTCAAGACAGCTAAATAGTTCCAATACTACAAAGATCCCTTTTTCTGAATCGTCAGATTTAACACTTATCTGAAAGTTCTCCTTATATAGTTTCTAAAAGAAGTGAAAACTCATACTCACCCATCTGGCTAGGGCTTCTTTGATTGTTGTTGCTTTTGCCTTAAAAAGAGAAGGAAAAAAAGGCTGTCTTTATTGGTGTAATCTGTTGATTCAATTCTTTCAGAGAAGTTAAGGGAATCATGATGTGATGCCCATGTAGATAACTCCCACTTGGTTTACAAAAAATATGCAGCTTTCAACACTTAAAATATGTCATTTCATTGACTCTAAGATCTACATCTTCTTTCACATTTTAACGTCTTTGAAATTTGGATGCATCTTCCAACCAGGAACAATTTACAACTGCAGTGGCCAGGTGGCAGTGGTGACGTTTTAGAAAAACATTAACAATTTTATCTCATATGCATGGATTCTTTTTTATGTTTGCAAAGGATGACATAGCATAAGTCAAGTCTATATGCCTAAATATGTTTAAAAAAAAACTCTGTCAATAAGTACAAAATAAAAATTCTAACTGATAAGAAATTATTTGTTATAGTTTACTTCCAACTTATTTTTCTTTCTTAAAATATAATGTTGTACCTTATAATCAATAATATCTTTAATTCAATTTATAACTTTTTAAAAGTTTTTTTCTTATTTTTTTTTTTAGAGAGAGGGGAAGAGAGGGAGAAAAACATTGGTTGCGTCTCACATGGCCCCAGCTGGGGACCTGGCCCACAAGTCAGGCATGTGCCCTGACTGGGAATCGAACTGGTGACCTTTTGGTTCACAGGCCAGTGCTTGATCCACTGAGCCACACCAGCCAGGGCTATTTGTAACTTTAAAGGTGAGCAAAGGAAGACACCCTTTGAACTATTGCTCCAGTTCGTTAATAAAAAGAGGGAATACTCTAACTAAAAACAAAAGGAAAGTTTTAAAAGCATATAACATTATGTCTAGAAAGTAAAGATAGTAAAGACATACTAAAAAATCACCCTTGGGGTAAAAATATTATAAATTAATGTGAAATAATAAAAGATAAAAAGTCAAAATTTGAGAAATAAATATAACCTTAAAAGGAAACACAGCTTCAAGGACATTTATTTGAAAAGAAGAGTGAGAGATAGAAAACAAATAAGCTGAGCATTCAAGATAGTTGAAAAAAGTGCATCACTGCAAACCCAAGGAAGACACAGGAAATACAAAGTAAGAAGTCAGTGGGAAACACAGTAGGGGGAAGAGATCGATGAATAAAGGGCAAATATGTGGTAATAAGTTTGAAAAGCTAGATAAAGTATGCCTTTCTACAAAACAAACAAACAGAAAAATGCCAGAACTGTCACAAGATAAATCAGAAAATGTGAATAGGCCAATAACTATTTAAAGCATTAAAAAAATAATCAGAGATTTACCCTCATCCTCCTCCCCAAAAGCTCCAAGACTAATTTTACGAGTTCTACCAAGCTGTCAAGGAAGAGATATTCTCTGTTATACAAGTTGTTTCAGAAACTAGAAAGAGAGAAAGCTGCCAACTTACTTTATGAGGCTAGCATAACTTGATGCTATAACAAGATAAGGAATCCTCTTTATTTCTCAACACAGATTTGAAAAGCCTAGATATATTAGGTCTCCAAAGCCAATGATACAGAATGAAAAGATCAAGAAATACTTATTCCCAGGAGCATAAAGATTGTTTCACAATAGGAAAATTCATAAATGTATATTAATTATTATTGGATTAAAGGGAGGCAATCATATTTATTTCATTACATGCAGAAAAAGAACTTGATAAAGTTCTACATCTGATATTAAAAGCATTCAACTAAGATAAAGGGAAACTCCTTGATAAAGGCTACAGACCAAAAAGCTACAATGAACACCATACTTAACAGAGAAATTCATTCATTTCAGCAAATCTCTACTGAGTGTCTACCACATACCAAACATTCTTCTACATGCTTAGGATATATCACTGAACAAAATGAAGATCCTTGCCTTCATGGAACCATTGTCGGGAGACAAATGGTAAGTAATATAATTTAAAAATAAACACATTATATAGTATAGTAGAAGGTGACAGTTACTAAAGAAAAAGAAAATGCCAGCCCTGGCTGGCGTAGCTCAGTGGATTGAGCGCGGGCTTCGAACCAAAGCATCGCAGGTTCGATTCCCAGTCAGGGCACATGCCTGGGTTGTGGGCCAGGTCCCCACCAACCACACATTGATGTTTCTCTCTCTCTCTCTCTTTCTCCCTCCCTTCTCTCTCTAAAAATAAATAAATAAAATCTTAAAAAAAGAAAAAGAAAATGCCGAACATGGTAAAGGATACGAGGGCATGTGGATGTGTGTGTGGAGGACGTTTATTTTAAATAAGGTGGTCAAGATGGGCCACATTGGGAAGGTAACTGTAAAAGTATTCTCTTTAAGATCCCAAACACATCTAGGATGTCTACTATCACTGTTACTATTTAACATGGTACAAGAGATCTTTATACATGTTATATTAAAGATAAATACAAACTGGAAAGGTTAAAAGGGGGAAATAAAATTCATGTGCAGATGATCATCTATTTAGAAAACACAATAAAATTAACTCAAATAGAACAAATGGAGTTCAGCAAGTGAAAAACACTGTTGATAAAGTAAACAGAAAAATTCGGAGAAGATATTTTCAATGTAAAACCAACAAAGGGCTGATATCAAGATATATAAGGAACTCCTCACATTCAGAAACAAATATGGAAAAGTTGGTAAAAATGTAAACAGAAAAGTCACAGAAACTGAAATCCAGATGACTAACAAGAATATCATGAGGTAATCAAACTCACTAAAAATCAGAAAAATGCAGAAAAAACAATGGGATGCTACAATACACCCTCTGATTGGCAACAGTTAGAAAGTTGGTGACATATCTTGGCTGGGTGGCCTTGGAGCGCCAGCCTGTGAACCGAAAGATTGCTGGTTTGAACCCCAGTCAAGGCACATGCCTGGGTTACGGGCCAGGGCCCCAGTTGGGGGCATGCGAGAGGCAACTGATCTATGTATCTCTCATAGATCTCTATGATCTATGTATGATGTTTCTCTCCCTCTCCTTCTCCCTCTCTTCCCTCCTCTCTAAGAATAAATAAATACATTCTTTAAAAAGAAAAGAAAGAAAGCAGTCTGACAGTGTGTATGGAAATTAAGTATGCATACTTAGGGGAATTAAGTATGCACAGACCCTGTGACTCTGCAATCCCACTCCTGGGTATATCTCCCAGATAAATCCTTGCATGGGACCAAAGAAAGACACAAATAAGAACACTCTCAAGTTGGAAGCAATCAAGCTGTCTATAAATTGGTTTATAAGGTCACTAGTTCCCCTATAGAGAGCAGGAATCAAAACCTGAAATGCCTTGAAAACCAATGGACATCATTAACGGACAAAGCTGGCCATGTAAAGAGCCTCTATTTGGCTCTAGAAAACTTGACAGGTGGGACTTGGGACAAGAATTACCCTAATATCACATTTCTTGAAATATGAGAAACCCATTAATGACAGTAACATTCTTATTTTATGTACTATTAAGAAAAAAAATGCAGCCAATTATATGACAGTAACACAAGTTTTCAGTAATATAAATATGTGGGGACAAATGTGCCTGGTAGTGAAATACAGTATTTCTGATTTTTCAAAGAAGCTACAAATCTCAGTTTTGTAGTGAAGTATGATCATTCTTAAAACACTGGAAGCTAATTTTGTTTAAAAATTTTAAAAACTCTGTGGGCCTGTATTTCTGAAGGGCCCCAGAACCAACAGTTTGCAGCCTCAGCTAGCTTCATATAATTACTGGTTCTGATTCTTCATCTGAAGATTTTCAATAATTCTTATGGTTCATGCTTTTAGGATTTAGAGCTGACTATTTCTTCACTTAAATATAAACCTAGGCTCCAAAATATTTTTCTTTCTCCCCCCGCCCCCCACTTTTCACTGTGTAGCCTGCTTCAGAGCCTGCAGCCTGCAGCTAGAGAGAGGCCAGGCAGTGGTTCAAGGCCACCGGTTGCTCAGGTGTGCGGCACTATGTGAATTTTTTTACCTTCCTTGGCAGTGGTGTAACTAAATGCATGTGAAATAAAGTAAGAAAAGATGGGAGAGGGGGAGGAAGGACCTACTTTAAAAAGAGTGGTATTTAATCTTGTGGTTGAGGGTGGACATGACATCGTTATCATTTCAATTTCTAGGGCTCTAGTTCTGCCCACTTGCGTTGGAATCGCAAAAAGAAGACAAATTATACCTGTTCTTCATAAGTATCTCCATCCGGCCCGGACAATCACATCCTTTGCTAAAAAGCTTTGTCTGGGTCTATAACTAACCAACAACATCCCTTTTTCAAACTACTAGTTGGAACTGCCACGTATGTAAGCAAGACAACGCACATTCTGAGCAGGAGTTGAGGATCGCTAGATAAAATCATTACTTCACAAAGGTTTTGATTGGGTAGACCGATGACAGATTTCAAATCCAAGCCAGTATTTCTCAAAGTGTGGTGGGGTGCCCTACAATTTTAGAATAACTTGAGGTGCATTGTCGAAATGCACATACCTGAACACCCCCAATCTTATTAAACATTCATAATCTGCACTCCAACAAGCTCCTAGTACTTAGACCGACTACAATCATACTTACACATACTGAGATTTGAGAAAGAGTAGCCTAATATCTTCTGTCTGAGTGGGCTTTACAACGTTACCTAATAACGGCCCTCCCAGTCATTCAGGGCTACCTGGGCACATCACAGGTTTCCGATAACTGCTGCAATGATGTGACCTACATTCCTCTGGTAACCAGCTCCCCACTCCATCTCGCCAGGGGGTAACTTACTTGTATGTAAAAAGAGATCCTTATTCACCCACTCCCGTCCATCACCTTTCCCACTCCAATGCTGTTTTTCGAGAATTCCCTACTCTTTGCCCTCCCTTTCCTTTGCCAGACTTCCACCACGTTCACCCAACCTCTAATCTGCCCCACGCCGCCCTCCTCCCAGACCACCCGGTGCCAGGGCTTTTCGATCGCCCCCAGGCCTCTGACTTTGAGGAGCCCGCATCCGCTACCGGCTCCCTTCCGCGGTTCAAAGGCACCCTCTCCCCTCCCAGCCCTCAACGCTCCACAATAGCCCTTTCCCACTTCCAACTTCTTTTCAGCTTTGACTACAAGGCCTGGAAGGTACTCACCATTCCGGCGGTTGCTACTGTCACTGCTCTGGTTGCTAGGGCTTGGAGGGGTCAGTGCGCTTGCGCACTTTCTCGGGGTTCTCCTAAGATCCCTACAGCCTCCGCTGTCGCCTCTCTCCGCCCTCAGGTGGCGCGAGCGGGGAATTGTGGGACGATGGGGCGGCCTCCGGTCCTCCCGCCGCGCTGCCAATCGCTCCCGAGAGGCGGCGGCACTGTTGTCCGTGAGACGCTGGGCTGGAGTGCCTAGCCCCGCAGAGTGCTCAGGGGATGTGCTTGTCCGTACCTAAAGCGGTTTCAGTTCGTCTGGAGCAACATAGCCACCTGAAGTTTAAAACTGTAAAACCTCCCTCTAAGCGTTGCACTTTACAAAAGGATTTTTTGTAAAATCCTTTACAAAAAGGATTTGTAAAATTCCCTTTTCCTGCAGATTGCCCTTCTGTATCCTCTCCCGGCTCTCTGCTATAATTCTCCTGACGTCCCACTGAGGATACCCGAAGCCAAATTCCGCCGAATTTTTTCAGTTACTTTCCTCCAGGAAGCCAGAGGATGCTGAAAACGAAGTGTATGCTTTACATAACCAAGGTGTCTTTTTACTACCAACTATCAAATTAGCCAAAAATTGTAAAAAATACTGAGTCGCTAGGAGTATGGATAAATAGAATGCATATAAACACTGCTGTTTATAATTGATACAGCCTTTCTGGAGGGCTGTTGGCAATAAGTATTAAAAGTGTGGACGAAAAAGTGGCCACGTACTAAACCTAACAAGCTTAGGGGAGACCTGCATGGTGGGCTTACAAGCTCACAGACTGAATGTAACCACATAGGAAGGTCTGAAATGAAAACTTTCTAACTATTGTAAAAGCAGGTCATGGCAGGTAGTCCTGTCCTAAACCCTATCTTCCCTCACAAAATTCAATCTTTACCTTAACTGAGTCCATTGTCTTTTTGCATCTAGGATAACATATCTTTGGAACCACAGGGTAATTTTTTTTTCTAGACCCCTCAGGGCACAACCACTGCACCAGAGCAGAGACCTCAAAACCGTTTGTTAATTATTTACTGTTAATTATCCCACACCCACCAATGTAAAAGATGTATGTGTCTATTTTACTTTTTATGCAATCCCAGAGATGTCCCCTGCTTTGCTTTCTCCCACCTCCCTAATCTATCACCCATGGATTTCATGTAACCCCTTTAGGTCTTGCCCTTTGATTCTGCTGTATAAAATAAGTGGTGAAACTGCCATCATCTAGAGTATTTTCTCAGTCCGTTGAGATTTTGCTTTCCCAGCAATAGTCGGTTTGGCTCAAATAAACTCATAAAATGTTTTTACAGGTTTGGATGTTTTTTGCACCGACAAAACCTTTAAAATCCTTGCACCTTTGTGACTCGGCAGTTCCACTCCTAAGACTTCATCCTGAAGAAATAATCACACAAATGCACACAGATACATGTTCAAAGTTTTAATAGTAAAAAGAAAACAATTCAAATGTTGACACAATAGGATTGGTATCGTTGAACATCCAAACGATGAAATAATACACTCTTTTTCACTGTGTAGCCTGCTTCAGAGCCTGCAGCCTACACGCAGAGGCCAGACAATGGTTCAAGGCCAGTTTGCTCAGGCATGGGGCACTACACGAAACTTTTTACCTTCTTTGGCAGTGGGTTAGCTAAATGCATGTGAAATCAAGAAAATATGGGGGGAGGGGGGACCTACTTTAAAAAGAGTGTTAATTAATTTTGTGATTGAGAGTGGACATGACTTCATTATCATTTCAATTTCCATATCACTTCCATAAAAATGTTGCTGAAATGCACCTATTGACATGCATAATCATGATGTGTTAATTTAAAATGCAAGTTACCAAACAAAATGGTGTGATCCCCTTAAAAAATATATATAGCACTCACAGATATACATAAGAAAACTTAAAGGGCATTATGAGGGTTTAATGTTTGTTTCGTACTGAAATATGTCCCCTCAAAACTCGTATTTGAAGCCCTAGCCCTCAATGTGATTGTGTTTGAAGATGGGCTTTTAAGGAGGAAATCACGGTTAAAAGGGGCCATAAGACTGGGGCTCTAATCCAATAGGACTGGCGTCCTTACAAGAAGAACAGGTAGGAGAAGTGGTTTGCACAGAAGAAAGGCCCTGTGAAGACACAGTGAGAAGTTGGTCATCTGCAAACTAAGGAGTGAGGCTTCACCAAAAACCTACATCACAGGTGGCAAACATAAGGCCCGTTGGCCGAATCCCGCCCTCCACCTAGTTTTATCCGGCCCGGGACCTTGTTTCTACCTGGCGGCTGCACGGAGCTCCAAGCTCCTACGCTCCAGCCAGCGCGCTAGTCACGTGTGCAGCGTGTGTGATGAGTTTACGCTGCAGGAGCAGGAGAACGGCGGGAGCTGCGGCCATAGCTACAGGAGAACGGTGAGCCTGTGTAAGAAAAGTAATAGGTGAGACTGATGGGGGCACTAGTAACTGCCTTGGGACATTGAAAGACAAGAAAGGCGAGAATTACTGGGGCAGGGGCGGGGGTAGCGGAGGGACGGCGGGGTGCTTAAAGGGGTACTCTCAACTGGGCAAACATTTCATTTAATTTTTTCATAAATTACCCAGATACATGAACTTTAGCCATTACATGTTATTTTTTAAAAAGTACCTGTAAAAAGATATCTTGCAACCAGCAGCTAGGGTCCCACGCATGAATTCTACATTGTTGTCCCTAGACACGGCCAGCTCTGCGGTCCAGCAGCAGTGGCCGCGCTTGCGCAGTGACGTGCTTTCACTTTTTTGTGAAGCTGGGACTGCGAGAGTAAACCTAACTTGCACGGGCGCATTGGCTCCCTGCCCGGCCTCCTCCACCCTGCATCGTTCAAGATAACAGGACGGCTCTGGGGCCCAAGCAGTATTTAGGCATAGTCCTCAGTCCCGGCCACTTCATATAAAAGTGAAAGCATGTCATTGCGCAAGCGCGGGCACCGCTCTGCGGGTGTTCCCAAAGGAACATTCTCCTTATTCCACCATGGAAGAATGTTCAGGAGGTTGAGGAGGATGTTCATGCTGGGGAATGGCACTAAGGATAATGTCGCTGTCCAATGCATTGGCAATGGGGGGGGGTAAGAATGTCGCTGGGATAGATGGAGGGGGAGAATTGATGGAGAAAGGGTGACTGCTGTTTTTGCAGAAGGGGGCGGGGGATTTGAAGGAAGGGTGAGTCTGTAGGAGGGGGCCTGTTATTGAACCTGGTCCTAAAGGACATCTTGGTCTTTTATCTTTTACTTAGGTGGCGCACCATACCATCTTTGGTGGAACAATTTCAATCCCAAAATGTCCAGTAAGAGAAAGATTGATGCAGAAGGAAGGCAATTTAACGATAGATGGGAAAGCGAATACATGTTTGTGTTTCAAGGGGAAAACCCAGTGTGTCTTTTGTGTTATGAGACAATATCAGTGATAAAGGAATACAATGTACGTCGGCATTTTGAGACCAAACATGGAACCAAATATGCTAAATTTAGCCTCCAAGAAAAACAACAATTGGCGCAAGAATTAAAAGGCAGACTGCAATCGCAGCAAAATGTGCTCACCAGAACTATAGCCAAAAATGATGCAGCAGTGAAAGCCAGCTTTATTGTGGCTGAAGAAATTGCTCGAGCTTCAAAGTGTTTTTCAGAGGGTGCATTTTTCAAGCAGCGCATGCTAAAGGTGTGTGAGCAGGTGTGCCCTGATCAAATACAGACTTTTAAAAATGTCAGTTTGTCAAGAAACACCATCGCAAACCGTGTTAAGGAACTAGCAGGAAATCTGACCACACAGCTGGTCGAAGAGGCGCGCAGTTATATGGCTTTTTCCTTAGCTGTGGATGAGAGCACAGACAACACAGATACATCGCATCTATCCATTTTTATAAGAGGTGTGAAGGCGGACTTCTCTGTCACTGAGGAACTCTTGGATGTAATTACCATGCATGGGACGACAACAGGGAAGGACATTTTTGATGCGGTGGAGAAGTCCATAAACAATCATAAGTTACCCTGGGAAAAGCTGGTGGGGCTAACTACCAACGGTGCCCCTGCAATGTGTGGAGAAAAAACAGGCTTGGTTGGACTAATGAAGGAGAAATTGCAAAAAAGTAGCTGCGACACACCTCTGATAACGTATCACTGCATTATCCATCCAGAAGCTCTGTGTGGAAGGGTTCTGGAACTGGATAATATTATGACCACAGTCATGAAAACAGTGAACTTCATTCGGGCGCGGAGCTTGAATCATGGCCAGTTCCAAGTGTTTCTGCAGGAAATGGACTCAGAGCGTGAAGATGTGCCATACCATACAGAAGTCAGGTGGCTGAGCAGGAGCGCAGTCCTGAAACAATTTTTTGAGCTTAAGGAAGAAATTGCACTTTTCATGCAAAGTAAAGGAAAACCCTTGCCTGAGCTGTCAGATCCAACCTGGCTGTGCGATTTTGCTATGTTATGTGACATAACCGAGCATCTTGCCCAACTGAATCAGAAGCTGCAGGGACGCAAACAAGTCATCACGCAGATGTCCGACGCGATCACGGCTTTCCAGCGTAAACTTCACCTATGGAAGTCCCAAGTGGACAAGGACAATCTTGCCCACTTTCCTGTTTGTCAGAGCATCTCAGCCTCAGTTCCCGGTGCTTTTTCATGCACGCCCTTGGCTACCAAATTGAGCCGGTTAATTGATGAATTTGATCAGCGCTTCTCAGACTTCAGAAGACAGCGCTCAAGCTTTGCCATCTTTGCCAATCCTTTCACCATTGATGTCGACAGTGCACCCCACAACCTTCAGTTGGAGTTAATTGATATTCAAAGCGATAGTTGCCTGAGAGTAAAGTTCGAGGATGTTAAAATTGAGGACTTTTACCGTCTACTGCCTCCTGCTTTGATGCCACAGCTCCGACTTCACGCTGCTCGTATTCTGTCACTGTTTGGGAGCACCTATCTGTGCGAACACACGTTTTCAATAATGAATCTAAACAAGACTAAGCACAGGTCACGCATCACCGATGACAACCTCCACGCTGTTTTACGAATTGCCACAGCACAAGGCCTGAAACCAGACATAGACACACTGACCTCGAGAAAACGGTGTCAGACATCCAGGAAACAAAACAGGTAAGCCTAAAACCTGATTTTGAATGCAGTTGAATTGCTTGTCTTTTGCTTTGTGTTTGTTGTTATTTTCAGAACATGATCAGTGGATGAGGATGGTATGTGACACCCTGGTGTCTCAGGTTATTCAACAATACGTTCAGCCTGGTTGCCCTCAAAGGGCTGATTGTAATGGTAACACTGTATAAATGTAACTACTCCTTAACAGTTAAGTGAAGTTACATTTACACAGTCCTAAAATTACATTCGGCCCTTTGAAGGCAACCTCGAGGCTGATGTGGCCCCCCCGATGAAAATGAGTTTGACACCCCAATCTACACTGTTGGCACTTTGATCCTGGACTTCCAGCCATCAGAAATGTGAGAACATAAATTCTGTTGTTTAAGTTATCCAGTCTGGTATCTTGTTATGGCAGCCTCAGGAGACAAATACAATGTTCACGTCACTTGCCTGTTTTTTAATTGTTCTATAATGTAGACATTTTAAATTTTGAAATAATTTCATTTTGAAAGAGATAATCACATTTGTAAAACTAGGAAAAAGTTAAATTTTTATTGGAGAAAGACAAAGTACATATTTCTAACATATTCAGCTTTTGTTCTTGTGCGGTAGGCAGTTAGACGTGGGCAGAGCAATGATGGTGGGCCAGGTACAGAAGGTCGCCAAGAAGCCCCAGGTGCCTTGCAATGGCAAAACTGGGAAGATGAGTACCTTGCTGCCAGGGTAACCTTTCCTCCCCTAGCATATCACTGGTCCTGTGGATTAGACCCCCTGACCTTTCATATTGCTGGTCATGCATACAGACCCTCCCCTGACCTTTCCTCCCCTGGCATGTCACTAGTCACGTAGTAGACACCCTTGGAGGAGGAACAAGGGACTGAAAGGTGGCCTCATGTAACTTCCATTCAGGACCTTGCACAGCCACTCCCCTAAGCATTAATCCCCAAAGATAACATCTAGGCCTCAGTTGTGTTTCAGCTCCAGGCGCAGAAAAGCAGCAGAACCAGACCAGCGATGCCGATGCTGTGGCTGACATCTGGACCAGCTGCACTGACTGATGACCCCCTGCTCTGGTGCTGACCAATCAGTAGAGACTATGACCCTAAAAGGACACACCTGGAAAGCTGATGAGTATTCTATTGGGATCCTCCTAATACCTCCAGACGAGGGCCTGGTGCTGCTCTCCCTCCCTGGATCCTTCAGCATTTTTCCTTCCGCCTGGTCTTCCCCCAGGCATGTTAGCTTTACCTTTATCTCTCCTAAGCTCCGAGGGCCCTTCTTCTGCCTCTGTAACTTGTTTCCTGAACTTGTACCCCACTGGCTCACTTTTCCTACCTCTGTGACTTTCCGAATAAACTTTCTCTTATAGTTTGAGTCTTGGCTCTGAATTCTTTCTTAGCCAGAACTCAAGAACTGAGGTTGCTGAACTGAAGTCCAAATGGCACCAGTGACATTCTGGTACCATTTTGCCGCCAACACCTGCAGTGATTTTTTCAGATCTCCACACCTCCACCCCTCTCCAAGTTGGAATTCTTCCTCTCCTGCAAAAATCTGTTTTTCTTGATGTAGCTGTAATGGGAATTTAATCCTTAAACATATCTCATAACCCAGTAGGGTATTCCTTTTATTCAAAACTACAAATTGCACCATAAGGAATTGATATTAATGGTGTAATATCACTAATAAGTCAATTTTATCTTTATGCTCACTCAGAATATTAATTCTATTTCCTCCTGTTGGGGGGCTCAAATGTTGGAAAAATGTTAGTTTCAGATAATAGCTAATAAGCTTAGTAATGAATGCACATAAAAGCTGTTGTTCCAGGAACTGAAGGTATGACCCACCCTGACTCCGGGAGACCATAAGCAGCTCCACCTTTGTGCCTCAGGAGGACTGCAAGCAGTAAGGTATCTGAGCCATTCTGCTCCAGGGTGAGATGCCCAGGACACAGATGAAAGAATGCTGTAGCTTTTTATCTGATTAACCTTTCCCCTGAATTCCAATCCCCTTACCTACACTTTTCTTCTCCCTATAGAAAGGGTTGGTTGAAAATGAAATTTAAGACAGTCTGTTAGAGAGCGAACCCGCCATCTTCTCAAATCGCCAGCCATTGGAATAAAGCACCGTAGAGATTCAAATCCTGTACGTACTTGTCAGGTCCGGTCGGTGACAGGCAGTACGAACACTGGCTTTTCCAGTTTCACTCTTTGCCATGAATATCTTTTATGTACCAGTATATAAGCTATTTACCACCATATAATATTTACCACCATATAAACAGAAATTTCCTTGTCTCCGAAAATCAATCCACAATATCTTGATACATTTCTTATCAAGCACATTTTGAGTTTCACATGCTCAAAGGTTAAAAACTTTCACACGGGGAAAGAAAAAGAAGTATATAACTTGGATCATTTCTTTGTTCTTTTAAGCCCTTCAAAATGACACAATAGATCTCAAAAGCCGTTTACCAAAGAGTATAGCTTTGGGTCCACTTGCTTTTGTTGCAGACCTGGACAACAGAAAGTTGAGAGAAAGGTTAAAATTATTATTGAAACAGTGTCCCCAAATACAGAAAATCGAGCATACCCTTTAAAAAGTAAAGGTAAAAAACATAGTTTGAAATGATAGAAAAGCAAATATGTTAAGAAGTCTTTGATATTTAAACAAGAATGTGAATTGAATAAAAGAAGAAAAAACATGTCACAGTTAAACGATTAGAGTTTGAGCAAAACAGCTAAAGTTATATACTTTAAAATAAAAAAAAAATTTATCACCTAATAGTCATTAATTCTCAAGGTTACTAAGTCACTATGAATTCAAATTAGAATGAGCATTGTTGCCCTGGCTGGCGTAGCTCAGTGGATTGAGCGTGGGCTGCGAACCAAAGTATCCAGGTTCGATTCCCAGTCAGGGCACATGCCTGGGTTGCAGGCCATGGCCCCCAGCAACTGTACATTGATGTTTCTCTCTCTCTTTCTCCCTCCCTTCCCCTCTCTAAAAATAAATAAATAAATAAATAAATAAAAAATTTTTAAAAAAGAGCATTGTATCAAATTTCAAGAGTCAGTTTCACAGATTATGATTCTCATTATAGTTATTTGCTAAAAAGCCAAATTCTCCCCTATGTTTTTGGTCTGTTTTAAAATAAACCTCTTCTAGTCCCTGGCCAGGTGGCTCAGTTCGTTAGAACATCATCCTGATATACCAGGTTGCGGGGGGTGGGGTTCAAGTCCCAGTCAGGGCACAGGGCACAGAAAAGAATCAAGCAACAAATGCCTAAATAAGTAGAACAACAAACCCATGTTTCTCTCCCTCTCTCCCCCTCCTTCCCCTCACCCCTCTCTTCCTCTGTTTTTAAAATTAAAAATAAAAACTTAAAGAAAACTTAAACCTCTTTAAAAAATCTTACATGAATAACCCCCAAATCAGGAGGATGTGTGTGTGTGTTGATGTTAATAATTTGAAACATATCCAATTTAAAATGTTAATTTGGGGGGAACCATTAATACTACAAATTAGGGTTGACAGCACTTCATCTTCTGCCCAGGAGAACCCAAAATTTAGTTCTGACAAGATCCCACTGATCAACCAAAATCAAAGGCTAATAATTAATACCTTATTTTTTCCCTTCAAGTATGTGAAAAAAATTATCATGAGGGCTAGAACTTCTAATTCTTAGAGATTAGAATCAGAACTCAGAACTTCAGCTAAGATTACTTTAATAAGTCAAGGCTCATCCAACACATTGTAATTCAGTGTTTGGTGAAGGTGGAAGAAGGCGGAAAGGATGCGCCTTCTCGGATGATTGATTACATGGTCTGCAGGGGACTAGAACCTGGAACCTGCCTATTTTTACACATATTTTTGAAACCAAGTGTGAAGGAAAGTTTTTTAAAGTACAAATACAGAGATAAGGGAACTGTAGAGAATCAAAGTATTTCTCAGTAATTAATTGCCATTTTTAAAGTAGTATCTTAGAATTTCTAACTTTTCTTAAGGATCCTAGAATGGGTAGCAACTAGAAAAATAATCAAAATCTGATTAACAACAGAAAGGATTCTATGGCTTGTCTGCCACCAATTAGCCTCCAAGTTACCTTGTTAGAATTCATTCCAGCCTCTGACTGTTATGAACAAGTTAGCATAGCCCAGTTGTTCCTCATCATAAAACCAGGGGCCTATATTCATGTGTTTACCTTGTTCAAAACAGTTTTAAAATCTCTGGGATAGATATAGCCAACTAATTGTCATATACTAGTTTTTAAAAATCTTTGGAAGGGTAGGTAAATGGTAGATTGAAAACTGGTTAGCAATTACCTTGAGTTCAAGCTCAAACAAACCAGACATGGAGAAACATGGGTAGGACCAAAGCTACAGGCTCTGATGAACTTGAAGTATTTTTTCTTTTAAAAGCTTGCAGACGTCATGAGAAGTCCAGATCTCAGTTGTCATTTGTCAAAAAATTCAGTCTTTCCCATAATTTGTTCTGAGCAAATTCTAAATTAAACTGTTTAGTTTGTAAGCCTTTGCTCTAGATGCAAGTGCAAAAACTCCAAGATCTTCTTCCAAGACTCAATCTGGGCAACAGCATGAGCTTTGAGCTGCCCGCCTCCCAAAACAGGCACCCCCAACACAGGATCCCAGGCTGCAGAGAAAAAAGGGCTGTAAGGCGGATCTATTCTGTGGCCAGCATTAGGGTAGCTTAAAAGAGTGAAATTTGTCTTCCCATGCTCTGTGAGGTGCTTCACAGCTATGTCGGCATAAACAGAGCTCTTCCAAAGCCTGTCATCCTCTCCAACAATGAAAAGGAAATGGGCACTGGCTTTTTCAAGAGGGATACGGCTTTCCCGATAGGCTGGATCCAAGGGGTCCTCGAGCGCTTCTTTAATGTCATACACCCCTGAATCGGTAGCAGAGATTTTACATAGGTTAAAAGGCAGTCCTGGCAGGATTAATCCACCACATGTAAGGGCAGTAGCTGTGTTAGAGATGCAACCATTGATGCTCACAACCGCAGCTATGTTTGGGAGAAAGCTAGCCATGGAAACTGCCAACTCTGCCCCCTTGCCAGAACCAATCACTCCAATGTTTGGGCCTTTGACCTGAAGATTGAAGAAAAAGATGAACAAGGAGAAAGAAAAAGAAAGCATGATTGTTAATGGGGGCACAAAGCCCTAAATATATAGAAAAGTCTTTTATATATTTATCAGATAGCTTGCTTATTTACCCATTAATTCATTCAACAGGTATGTATTACAGATACCTTCGGACCCATTAGTACCACTTCCTATATTCACTCTCTCCTAGTGTTAATGACTTTATTTTAAGCACATTTCTCTCTAGCATCCCACTCACCTTTGGATGACTTTGCACAAATTTAGCTGCCTCTTCAAAGTAATCTAAATTTAAGTCCTTCATAATTGGAGGTAGATCTTCGTAGCCAAAAAGTGGCAAAGCCAGAGCAGCAAAACCTCGACAAGCCAGGAGACTTGCTCGAGATTCATCCAATCCTCCATCACCGAACATATCAATCAAACCAGGAAAAGGACCATCTCCTATAAACCAGGAAAGGGGATTAATCTTGAATTAAGTGACAGAGCATTTAATAGACTATGATATCCAGCTAACATTTTCTAAGTCAAATTTTGTAAATTTATCTTTTCTTTTTAAACATCTGTATTTACTTTGAAAAGAAAATGTCTGTTTTGGCTTAAATAGGATTATTGTTGCAGTTGAAGTAGACACTTGTTTGGGCTACTTTGAAGCTGTAAGTGTAAAAATGTTTTTATATTTTCCCCCATGAGAAAATTGCTGGAAAATGGAAAAAAAACACAAATTAGCACCAAAGATACGGAAAGTGTTTTGATTTCAAGTGTACCAGTAAATCTAAGCAACTAATTCTTCAGGTTTTGAATTATGAAAGTATAATACCTCATTTAAAAAAAAAGATATCCATTTTAAAGGGCCCTTTGACTTATCAATGAGTTTAAGATACAGTAAGAATCACCAAACCCATAATTTAACAAGGTTTAAACTATTTTATTTTATTATTACTTTTCAAAAATCCTTACCCAAGGATAGGTTTACTGATTTTAGGGGGATGGGGGAGATAAGAGAGAGAGAAACATCAATGTGAGATAGAAACATTGATGGATTGCCTCCCATACACACCCTTACCGGGGATCAAACGCAGAAACCTAGGTATGTGCCCTGACCAGGAATAGAACACCCGAAGGGTTTTTGTGTGTGTGTTTTTTTTTTGTTTGTTTGTTTGTTTTGATGTACCAGATGACATTCCAGTCAACTGGGCCATCTGGCCAGGGCTAGGTTTAAATGATTTTAAATGTTTAATGAAGGTATAATATAAATATAAAGTGAACAATATGTATAGTAAAATGTCAAACTAATATCCTCCTAATGTCGATCTGTTATTTCTGTTTCAACATTCCTATTGGAGATTGTGTTATTTATTCATCCTTCCAAGAGAAGAGTTTCTCTGCCAATGGCCTCTTAATACTTTTCAGAAATATGCTTCTGCATTTTTTTCAATTAAAAGTGCCAGACAAATCTATAAGAACAGACTAAAAGGCAAAAACATAAAGACAGAAACCAAATTAAGACACCTAAAATTCCAGGGCCAGAAACCAGTTCTAAGTTTTCAAATCCAGAAATGAGTTAGAGCCACCAAAGTGAAAGGTACAGTGTACACATTAAGGATGTGGTTTTTATAAGGTAGTTTTCTTAACATTCAGATATCTCAGTATATCTTGATCTGCTCTTTTTAAAATTAGATACATTTCAATCATTTCTGGATTCAAGATTAGTTCCAGAAAGCCTAAAGTAAACCATGAAAAAGTCATAACATACACTCGGAACTCATTCCGGTAGCAGAGTTTTCCAGCGACAGGCTTCAAAATATTCATCTGATTTTCCACATTCAAATAACTGAGAATTTACTTATTTTGATTCAATTCAGTAATTTAATTCCAAATATGTAAATTTGCTAGGATCTTATTGGCTATTTTTAAAAAGTCCCCCTCCCCCAGCACACACACAATGTTTTAAATCACTCATTTAAAAGATTCTTGGTTGTTCGTAAGGATCCTGAGCATGAGACTAGGGGGTATGCCAGAGAAGTTTTCTAAAAAATAGAAAACTGGCCCTGGCTGGTGTAGCTCAGTGGATTGAGCACAGGCCTGCAAACCAAAAGGTCGCTGGTTCAATACCTAGTCAGGGCACATGTCTCTCTTTCTCCTTTCCTTCTCCTGTGTCTAAAAGTAAAGAAATAAAATCTAAAAAAAACCCACCTTTTTTAAAAAAAATTAAATATTGTATTGTTTATGCTATTACTGTTGTCCCAATTTTTACCCCTTTGCCCCCACCCCCCAGCCCATGCCCCATTCCCACAGCTAATCCCCACACGGTTGTCCTTGTCCATGGAAAAATAAAAACACCTTAATATTTCACTCATTGTTTCGCTTACACAGCCTGTGCTTATGAAGAAGGTTAGAGTTTGGAGCTCAAAGAGTTTTGTGCACCCTGACTTTACCATCTCCTAGCTGTGTGATTTGGTTAAAATACTTGGTTTCCTCATTTATAATAAAAAGAAGTTGTTCTTTGATCTATGAAGTGAAAAACGAAAGTTTTTTCATTATGGTGAAGGGCTGCGAGGCACTAGGGCTGCGAGGCACTAGAGAACGTCAGACAACAACAAAAAAGTCATCTTCTGCCCTGACCCCATAGCTCAGTTGGTTAGTGTCCTCCCAATCCACCAAGGTCGTGGGTTGATTCCCGATCAGGGCACATACAAGAATCAATCAATGAATGCATAAATAAGTGGAACCACTAATCAATGTTCCTCTCTCTCAAATCAGTAAATTTAAAAAAAAAAGTCATCTTTATCCTAACATGAATCCAGCATAATAGGACTTCATTCACTTTGGGACTTGAACAGATACCAACGAAAGATAGATTCGTATCCACTGCTCTCGTCATTTCTACCAGAAATGATAGCAGCAAAAGTTAAAATCAACGAAGCTCTGCCTACTAGAGACAGGCAGACAAGCATTTAATGCTAGGAACTTTACAGCAATCATGCTTAATACGGCAAACCTGCAAGGTGTATGCTCGCAAGGCATAGAGTCTGCGGCACTAAGGAATTTAGAGGGTGGGCAGATTAAATTGAAATTGAAATCCCAGCCACCACTTAGGGAAATGAATATCGCCACTTAGGCTACCAAATAAAGAAAGGAAGATGACCAATTAGCTAGCAAGACAATCCGGCGGAGAGGCCCTGTGCGGAAAAGGCCCCACGCACCTGGGGGCAGCAGGAGGACGCCCCGCAGGCTGCCGGTTTGCAGCCGAGTGCGGGACAGCTGGGGGCTGGAGAACCAGCGCTGCACGTGGGCCGAGGCCAGCGCCGGGCCCAGCGGCACCTCCGGCTGCTGCTGCGTGGGATGGACGGTCACCTCCACTTTGAGGGGCGTTTTCAACACGCCCCTCGGCCTCTGGCTGTGGCAGGGGTCCTCCGAGCCGGCCGGCGTGAGGCTCCACAGGAGCCCCATCGGCTCCACGCCGGTGAAGTCGCCGCCCAGAGCCGGCTGCCGGGCCAGGTCCAGCCTCCCGCGGCCGTCCGACTCGAAGTGGGCCTGCGAGTGGAAGAGACGACCTCGGTAGCTAACAGCCGACGCCCTCAGTGTCACCCGCTCCCTGGGGCCTAGGCCTTCCACTTTAATATCCAGAAGCTCATCAGCCAGACCAGTCCTGGGCGTGACGGTCAGGGTCACGGCCTTTTGGGAGAAACCCAATGACGTGCACACCGACCTCCGGAGCTGGAGGCGGGTCCCAGGGGTTCGGAGCGCGGCCTGAGCCCATCGCCACATGGCGCCGGGATCTTCGCGGACTTGACTCGAGCCTCAGAGGGGGACTGGAGCCTGCCACAACCGGTCGGTCAGAGGTCGGGGACAGAGCCCAGCAGGGCAGGCCAGGGCCTTCAGGAGCGGGGCGGGGCGGGGCGGGGCGGGACCCGGCGCTGGGTAGGCGGGGTCGGGACGGACCGGCAAAGGGACGCGAGCTGGTCCCTAGGGCGCCACTCAACAAGGGACTACAAAAAGGGGCAACTTAGGAGGGCCCTGGGTCGTTCGTAATTTTGGAGGTCCTGTGGTAGACCGTCTGAAGGAGGTAGGAGCTCATCTCGAACCTACCTCTCTCAAGTAAGGAGAACGAGAAGTTAATGATTTCTGACCGAAGGCCGGCCGGTCGCCTCCTCTGAAATACCTCACTGGCCACCAGGTGACACTGTTCCCCAAGCCTGGTTAAATTTGGAGGCTGCTTCTATTAGGCTCCTGCCAAATTCTTTTCCTTCTTTGAAGTTATTTTTGCTAGCGATTAAGAAAAGACTGTTAAGGTTAAAGTTTTAACGTTTCAGATGCGGCAGCACTGCTAATGTACAGCCGGTGGAAGTAATCTCTATTGTACTGTGGCCTGGCATAAATATTAAAAATGTATGTTTTATATGCAGAAAAACATGTGTTACATGACACTGAGACTTTTGTTTAAAAATGTCATTGGACTCAGGAAATAAAACCGTATTTTCTAATTCATACAAATACTTCTATGTACATGCATTAAAATAGTTTTGGAAGGGTCTAATTCAACTTGCTAACAGTAACTACCCCTAGGAGAAGACTAGGATTGGGTACTGAGTTGAGAGGATTTTTTATTTTGTCTGTATTACTTTAATCTTTTACAGTGGAGACTGTATTGATTTATGTAATTTAAAATTTGCTTTCTACTGTAGATTTCTATCCTAATTAAAATGCACGTTAATTAACTCAGGTGAAAACATCCCATTAAACTGCTGTGTCAAGGAAGAAGGGTACATATATAATTCTTGAATTTTTGGAAACAATTTCATTTCCAAATATCTTATCCCACATACCCCATAAGTAAGATCATAGTTGCCATGTATACTGACTTATGGTTAAAAAATATTTGCCATTGAGGTGGTTCCAGTCAGGAGGGTGGCATAAGTAAACATAGTACTTGGAACCTCCCCCAATGATATCAAAATTACAACTGAATTACAGAACAACCATCATTCATAACCACCTGAAATCGAGCTGAACTGAAGTCCTACAACTAAGGACATAGCGAAGAAACCAAATCAAGACTTATGGGATGGGTGGAGACTCTGAAGGGCTGGTCCCACACCTATGTGTGCTGGTTAAAAATCAGGAGGGATGTCTAGAGGTTCCCCCATAAGAAGCAAGGCATCCCAGCCCCATGTCAGAACCCCCAGCCCAGGGTTCTGGTGCTGAGAAAAGAAGTCACCATAACCTCTGGCTGTAAAAACCAGTGAGGATTGTGGCTGACTGAGATGGAGGACTTTGGAGTCCTAGGCAGTTCTTCTTAAAGGGCCCACACACAGGCTTACTTGGATTCACTCCCTGAGAACTCCAGTGCTGGAGCAGCAGCTCAGAGGAGCCAGAGACAGAGAGGAACTGAATTGTGTGGCTTCAAAGCAAAAGGCTGAATGGGCAGCTTTCTCCCAGACAAAAATGCTGGCAGAGGCCATTGTTTTCCTTGCTGAGCCCTCCCCCACCAGAGAGGGCAGGCATGCACCATACCTGAGTCTCTATAAACATGGCTATTAGCCCTGCCCTGATGATTCCGAGACACTGCCACACCCAATATGAGGTCCCACCCAAGCTGTTTCCTGTGGCTTTTCCATACAAATGGCCTCTCTTGCCTCATCCTTGAGACTTTCATAAAGTCTCTCAAACAAGCAGCATCTGGCCTCTGTGCACCCCATACCTCTTGCTAAGTGGCCCCAGGCCTGGCACTAGCAGCAGCTGGCCTTTGTTCACAGTTTGGCCTCTTCTGGGCACCTCTAAGCCCAGTACAAGTAGCAGGCATCAGCAGCTTGTGCCTCTATATAGCTTGTGCCAGATTGCTCTAGGCTGGGCACAGGCAATCACTGACCTTGCACCTTCCAAGAGGCCCCAGAGCCAGTGTACCCAGTGGACAGCTTCAGACCATGCCAGATTACAACCCTACAACTGCACTCCATGAGAGATACACCCAAGGGGAGACTCAGCAGGCACCAAAGCCCCACTGAAGCAAGTCCTGCTACTTAGGATTGGCCCCCTGCACGGCAGCTTCTCTGCTGTAGTCACAGCCAGTCCTCACAGCGCATCTGCCTGGGGGTCAATCCCTCCCAGTGGTTGTACCAACAGCAATCAAAGCTCAATTACAATAGGACAGTGCACACAGCCCACACCAGGAATATACCTGAAGTCCCAGCTCAAGTGACTGGGAAGGCTGTGCCACTGCACCCCTACAGGACACCTACTATATAATAGGCCACTATAATTAGGCCACTCTACCAAGAACAGGAGATGGAGCAGTTCTGTGTAATACATAGAAACAAACACAAGAAAGCAGCCTAAATGAGGAGATAAAGAAACAGGTCCCAAATAGAAGCACAGGAGAAATCTCCAGAAAAAGAACTAAATAAAAATGGAGGCAAGCAAACTACCAGAATTCAAAACAATGGTTATAAGGATGTTTAAGGAACTTAGTAAGAAGTTCAACAGCATAAAAAAGGAAATGGAAACCATAAAAAAGAACCAGTCAGATAAAGAATACACTAACTGAAATGAAGAATAAATTACAGGGAATCAACAGTACAGTGGATGAAGTTCTGACGTAGACTATAAAGAAGCAGAAAGCACCCAATTAGACCATCAAAAAGACAAGAGAATCAAAAAAAAATTAAGATAGTATAACGATCCTCTGGGACAACTTCAAGTGTACCAACATTTGCATTATGAAGGTGCTGGAAGGAGAAGAGAAAGAGCAAGAAAGCGAAAATCTATTTGAAAAAATAGCCCTGACTATTGCAGCTCAGTGGGTTGGGTGTTGTTCCACAAATGGTGGGTCTCTGGTTTGATTCCCAGTCAGGGCACAAGCCTGGGTGTGGGCCAGGTCCCAGGTTAGGGGTGTGCAGAAGGCAGCTGATCAATGTTTCTCTCTCTCATTGATGTTTTTCTCCCTCTCTTTCTCCTTCCCTTCCCATCTCTCTAAAACAAACAAACAAACAAACTTTTAAAAAAAGAGAAAAAGAAAAAAAAAACCTATTTGAAAATTAATCATGGAAAACTTCCCTAACCTGGTAAAGCAAATAAACCTTACCTGTAAGTCCAGGTATTGTAGAGAGTCCCAAACAAGATGAACTCAAAGAAGCCCACATCACGGCCTACTATAATTAAATTGCAAAAGGTTAAAGACAAAGAGACCATCTTAAAAGCAGCAAGAGAAAAGCAGTTAGTTACCTACAAGGGTGCTCCCATAAGACCGTCAGCTGATTTCTCAACAGAAACTTTGCAGGCCACAAGGAACTGGCAAGTAATATTCAAAGTGTTGAAAAGTAGGGACTTACAACCAAGATTACCCAAACCAGTAAAGCTGTAATTTAGAATTGAAGGACAAATAAAGAGCTTCCCAGACAAGAAGCTAAAGAAGTTCATCACTACCAAACCAGTAGTTCAAGAAATGTTAAAAGGTCTTCTTTAACAAGAGGAAGAAGAATAAAATATTAAAACTATGAATAATAAATGGTCATAAAAAACCAAAATCTTACCATTTATGACAGAATGGATGGACCTAGAGGATATTATGCTAAATGAAACAAGTGAGCCAGAGAAAGACAAACACCATATGATTTCACTTATACGTGAAATCTAAACAACAACATAAACCAACAAACAAAGCAGAAACAGACTTATAGAGGGAAGGGAGGTTGGGGGACTGGGTGAAAAAGGTGAAGGGATTGAGGAGTACAGATTGGTAGTTACAAAACAGTCATGGGGATGTGAAGCACAGTGTAGGGAATATGGTCAATAATATTGTGATAACCATGTATGGTGCCAGTTGGGTACTGGAAGTATCAGGGGGAACACTTTGTAAAGTATATGATTGTCTAACCAGTATGCTGTACACCTGAAACTAATACAAAATAGTACTAAATGTAAACTGTAACTGAAAAAAAAATTTTTTGATTGCTACTGAAAGCATATGGTTACTGGACCAAGAAATTCTGGTTTAGAGCCCTACAACAACCCTGTGTTTTTTGAAAAGTACAGTTTAGGTGGCTGATGCCCAGTTTTAGAAAAACAGCTCAAGATATTGATTTCTGCCCTTTAAAACTCTCATAGTGGCCATGAATTTTGGATTTTGTGCATCTCTGTATGTGGCATCTGAAAAAATAAAATGCCCTCCATAAGTTTCTATCTTCCCAGTGTTTAAAAACCATTTAAAATAAATATACATAATAGCTTAGTCATGATACTTTGTGGTTTTCAGTTGGCTGAAATATGTAACAGGTTTATACATATATTTTTTTCAATGATTAGTCATTGACAAAGACATGTATTTGCTTTCAAAATATTCCATTGGCCTTTATCATTCTGATGAAATATATTCAAAAGTACACTATTAGGTATACAAAGGAAAGCAGAACAAAGGGCTGAATTTGGTTATATTTTCTAATTTTTAAAAAAGTTTCTCCAATTAAATTTCTTCTGGGTTTCAACTGCTTTGAGCCACTAAAGGTTCAAGATAAAATTACTGACAGCCATTTAAAAAACCTATATGTTTACAAATGGTTCCTTATTTCTTATCACTTTAAATCTGAACTCTCCAATTTGGCTTGTGGAGACTCCATTATGGACCCTAACATACCCTTAACTCTCCAATAGCCCTCATCATGCAGCTCTGCACTACTTGAGCATGCCTTCTCAGGCTGGAAGGCAACTCAAAACGTGTAAAGCATATTTTATTAGGAAGAAGAAACTGAGACCTAGGGCCTCACTCATAAAATAAAAGCAAAGCTTTCATTTCATAAAATAAAAGCAAAGCTTGGAGGTGAAGGGATGAAGATGTATAAATTGGTAGTTACAGAATAGTCACAGTGATGTAAAATACAGCACAGGGAATATAGTCCACAGTATTCTGATAACTATGTATGGTGCCAGGTGGGTACTGGAAATATTGGGGGGAACTCTTTGTAAAGTATATGATTATCTAACTACTATACTGTACACCTGAAAGCAATATGAAATACTGAAAGTATACTATAATTGGAAAAAAAGAAAAGCTTAGTATAATAGTCCCCCCCATCTGCAGGGAATACACTCCAAGATCTCCAGTGCATTCCTGAAACTGTAGATAGTATCGAACCCTGTATATGCTATGTTTTTTCCTGTGTATACACACCCATGATAAAGTTTATCAATTGGGCACAAAAGAGATGAACAATCATGACTAATACAATAGAACAATTATAACAATATGCCGTGATAAAAAGTTATGTGAGTGTGCTGCTCTCTCAAAATACCTCATGGTACTGAACTCACCTTTCATCTTGTGAAGATGTGAGATCACAGTGCCTATGCAGTGAGATGAAGTGAGGTACTCAGAATAACATGCAATTTAACACATATGAGTTGTTCATTCCTGGGGTTTTCCACTTAATATTTTCTGACCACCGTTGACCACAGATAATTGAAACTGCCGATAAGGGGGTATTACTGTATCCAAGTATATCAACGTCCCAGTTGGAGTTTGGAAACAAGTCTTGAGTACACATTTAGGAATGTGTTTGTACTGGCAAGAATGAGGCAGAGTCCATTCCTTAGGGGGCTTGAGTGGGCAGGCTCCCAACATGGTCAGCTAGGGCCCAAAGGGGATAAGGGACTCTTAGCGATACAGAATCTCAGTCCTTAGAACAAGAGCACAAGGCCAAAGCTAGGCCATCAGTTGAAAGTTGGGTAAGTACTTCTTACATTTCTCCTGCTTAAGGTTAAGATTAGTCCTACAGATAAGGTCAGGGTTAAGCCTATACACTGGATAAAGTTCAGGGGAGAAAAGGGTAGACCCACCAGTGAAGAAAAAGGGATTGCAAAGGCTGAGAATCCAGTGGGACCTGACAAGGAAGCCAAGATGGTTGCTGTCTTAGAAAAAAGTTACTAGGTGCTCTGGAAAACCCAATACATGCTGTATGAATAGGATTTTTATTAATAGTATCTCATCTGTGATTATAATGTTACATTTTACTGAGCTTGACAGATTTTTTCCCATTGACATGCTTATGGAAGAAAATTTGAATTTGCTGCCAGACATCTACCTGTGCCCTTGAATGAGCCTTTGGCTCACCTCCATAGAGTATCGCTAGATCCAATACTGAATGTACAGAGAATCTAGAAGGAGGAAAATAAGGTGGGTCAATACAGTGACCAGTTCCTGGGCAGTAGAGTATCTGGGGTCTCTCTTTTCCATGGGCTTGTAACCGTTCAGAGGCTATATGAGCATAGAATTCACTGTTCCAGCTACGATCATCCAGGCCAACAATAAACAGGAAAGGCCCCTCGGCTTTTTCCAGTGGAATAAGACTTTGGCGGTAGGGTTCCTTCAGTGGATTGTTCCAAATATTCATGAAATCTAGAAGGCCTGACTCAGTGGTTGTATATTTCTCTATGTCATTGCCAAGGTCAGGAATAATCATATCTTTATAATGCAGAGAAGCTAGTGTGTTGGCCACACAGGCATTGATAACTACAGTGGCTGAGATGCCCTTTAAAAAAGAAGCCATTGAGAGACACAGGTCACCTCCTTTGGAGAATCCAAGAAGCCCCACACCAGGGCCTTTCACCTGATGGGGGGTGTGGAGAGAGAGAAAGAAAAATGAGTAAGCGTAGAATTCACAAACAGAGAACATAAACAGTGATTATATATTCTCTAAGTAGTTTTCTGAAATGTCATTTGCTTTCAGTCCTCATGCAACAATCTACAAAGTTCAATAGTGTCTTCTAATAGGCAAAGTAATGGATTTTCTAGTACACAGGCCCTCTACTAATATTTATGGGGTCTGGGTTAAGAATATACACAGAGACCCATATACCCTATATCTAACTATTTAAAAGTTAAATATCAAATTAACAAACTGTCAAATCAAATATATTCTTTTTTCCTACCTTGATAAGATTCAAATCTAAAATCTTGGAACTCTTTGGAGTTTTGGATTGGAACATGACTAGGGGAGAGCCAGGCCCTGGCACCAACCCCTGGTCCCTGGCCACCCTCTTTCTCTTCCACCCCTGGCTCCATCACACACCTTGAGAGGCCTCTCACATACATGTGTGGACACCCCAGCCAATAAGTTGCAGGCATAGGTGTATTAACATTGAAGGACCCTGAGAAGAAGCATAGGGCCTGGAAGCAGAATCAATACTGAATGGCAGAGAATTCTGGGGCTCAAGATCCCAAAGGCATGGTGAGAGGGGCCACATGAGTTCCAGGTGGACAAATCCCCTTGGTCTCTCGGACTCCTCACCCTCTGGGCCGTGATGCATCCCAAGGAAGGCCGGCGTGTGGCCATCTATAAGAAAGCATCCAAGGAAGAAGCCCCTTCTCCCTACGTTTGAGGGCAGAACTGATAGTATATACTCGTTTCTTTTTCCTGGGCCCTTATCACCCCTAAATAAACCAATCATCACAGTTTAAGATCATCTAGGTTTTAGCAACTCTTCTAAAAGACTAGTGCATGAACTTTTAACAGAGTTAAACCATCCTGTAGACTTTGCAGAATATCTTACTCCTTAACATTAACATGTTTGGGTCTCTAAGTTTACATAGTAGCACAGAATATATATTCCACTTATTATCACTATCAAAAATTTTTATTTAATTTTTTTCCACTATCAGATAAGAACTTTCTCTGCAAAAACCTAATACCATTATCACACTTAACAAAATGATTCTTTAATATCATCAAATACACAATCCCCAATTATCTCAAAGATGTAGAGGAAAAGTCAAACTCTTTCCTCTACGCATTCACATTAAGCTTATAAATGAGAAAAATCGAGTTCCAGAGAGTGTAATTACCTTATTCAGGATCATAAGGCCTCTTGGTAGTAAATGTAAAACCAGAACTCAAGGTTAGTAACTTTTTAGTCCAACTCTTTGAATTATAGTCAAGAATTAATGGGAACTAAACAGTCAACTTTTAAGGAATTAGAGGGAGATGGGTGGAACTCGATGGGTGAAATAATAATCCTTTCAGTAAAACTTTTGAAGGAGCCTTTCTGGCTTCTGGCATACCACTCGCCCCCAGGGTCCTGGCACGGCTTTTGGACCCAGCCCAGTGTTCTGTCTGCCTCTCCTCCGCATCCACCAGAACTCACCTTTGGATGCTGCAGCATGAAGTCCACGGCTTCTTCAAAGTACTCCAAGTGCAGTTCCTCTAGATATTTAGGGAGGTCTTCAAATTTGAAATAAGCCAGAGCAAGCACAGCAAAACCATGTCCAGCCAGGAGGCTGGCCCTGTATTCACAGAGGCCACCACTACTACCAAAGAGATCGAGGATCCCAGGGAAGGGCCCTTCACCTGGAGAGTACCAAAAATTAAAAGCTTTAGACTCTCAAAAGACATTTTTGGGTTTCAGATTTCAGCAGTCAAGAAAGAGAAGTTTTGGAAGCAAGGAAATTTGAGGGTGTGGGAGGTTGGTGAAAAGAAGGACCCTTTTTAAACTTTTTTTCTTTTCCTTTTTTTTAAATCCTTACCTGAGGATATGTTTATTGATTTTTTTTTTTAGTGAGTGAGGAACGGGGGCAGGGGGAGAGAGAGAGAGGAACATGACTGTGAGAGAGAAACATCAATTGGTCACCTCAAACCTGCAACCTAGGTACATGCCCTGACCAGGAGTCGAACCCGCAACCTTTCAGTGTATGGGACAATACTCCAACCAACTGAATCTCCTGGACAGAGGTAACTTAAAAACAAAAACAAAACCGAATATATATATATAAAAAGCCCTGGCTGGTATGGCTTAGTGGATTGAGTACCAGCCTGGGAACCATAGGATAGTGGGTTTGACTCCCAGTCAGGGCACATGCCTGGCTTGCAGGCCAGATCCCCAGGAGGGGGTGTGTGAGAGGCAACCACACATTGATCTTTCCTTCTCTTTCTCTCCACCTTACCCTCTGTCTAAAAACTAAATAAAGTCTTAAAATTAAAAAAAAAAAAACAGTGAGAAAGGAGAGTGGATAAAATGCCTTATTTTATCCAGAATTTTTCACATCTTTTAACAAAAATAATATTAAGTACAGTTGACCCTTGAACAACGCAGGAGTTAGGGGTGCCAATCCCTCTGAGGTCAAAAATCCCAGTATAACTTTTGACTCAAAAGTTATAACTTTTTGACCCAAAAACTTAACTACAGCTGTCCCTAGTTATCCGCAGGGGATTGGTTCCAGGGCCCCTTGAAATACCAAAATCCACAGATGCTCTAGTCACTTATATAAACTGACACAGAACAATGCATATTGTCAGCCCTCCACATCTGTGGATTCCCAACCAGGGGCAGAAAATACTATTTTTGATCCATGGTTGAATAAATCTGCAGATGCAAAAACCTAGGGATATGGAAGGCTGATTGTATATTTATTGAAAAAAAAAATCACTTCTAAGTGGACATGTGCAGTTAAAAAGTCCATCTTGTTCAAGGGCCAACTGCAAACAAAATTAGAAATAACATGATAAAACGCACATTTTCCACCAAACTGTTCTTGTTTTACTTAAAAAAAAATTGAGACTGCTTTGAGAGCTGTAATGCATCCTACATATATAGGGGATTATTAGAACATACTCCCCAATGCCTTAGACCCTCTGCTCCAGCCTTAAAGAATGCCATCCCTAAACACGCCACGTTCTCGTGGGCCCTTGAAAATGGTATGTGCTATTCTCCCCTCTCCACCTTTTTGACGTGGTTGACCCATTGATCAATCAGCCTTCACACCTAAGTTTAGATCTCCCTTCCTGGAACACCTCCCTGGCCTCCCTTCACCCCCCTCCCCCCTCCCCACCCTGTGAGTACCCTGGGCCTGCACATCCCTGCCTTGGCACTTACCACACTTATTATAGGTGTAAGTATAAATGTCTGAATCTTCTATTAGGCTGCAAGTCCAGAGAAGCTCCTGTCCAACTTTGCTAACTATTGCATCCCAGTACGTAGCACAGTCCTTCATTTAATACATACTTGTTCAATAATTGAACCTTTCTACATTATTTACAAAGCTTTTGAGTCAAAGCACAATAAATTTTAAGTGGGCTACCTAGTAGACACTGAAATAGTTAACACTTAAGATTGACTTGACTGGAAATCAGATACTAGGACTGACTAGTGAGCGACTTTTTTTTTTAATGAATGAAAGTCTCTTGGAGATTCTTATTGAATTAGTCCGTATGGTTCATTGAGCTACTACTATATCCCTGTGCAAGCCTCTAGGAATATATAGTGATGTGTGAGACCCAATTCCAGCCCCAGGAGTTCACAGTTAAGTGGACAGTCACTAAGGCTGTGAATTGCTGAAAAATTGTAAGAATAAAGCAGGGCCTCTTGTTTTAGAGAAGAATCACAGAATTCCATTTAGGGATTCTGTAAACTGTGGCAACTCCAGCATTTCTCTATACTGGGGGTTTCAGTAAAAGATTTGGTTGGAAGGAGTGGGTCAAGGGGCTTGTTTCCAGCCTGCTGGTACCTAGCAAGCACCTCGTTTTTACTTGGACTACAGATTCTCAACCTCACCACTATAGACATTTTGAGTAAGGTATTTCTTTGTTGAAGGGCTGTTCTGTGCATTGTGGATGTTTAGCTGTGGCGCAGGCCTCTACCCACTAGATGACAATAGCACCCCCCCCCATTTGTGACAAAAATGTCTCTACATATTGCCAGATGCCCCTGGAGTGGGGAGAAAATTATCCCATATTGAAAAACACTGACAGGCTGTAACGATAGTGGAGGTAGGACTACCAGGGAGGTTTGGTTTGTTTTGGATTATGGGGAACTGCCTCTGTCTGTGGATTTTAGCTTTCTTGGAAGTTTGTTGTGAAAGGGGGCAAAAGTCATTCCTGCACACCGGCAGAACCCATTGCCTAATATCAGTATTTGAAACTCAGAGGCTTAGCTGGCACATAGCTTATCTCAGTAAATATATGTCGTATGCACTTTGTAGCATACAGCTAAGGGGGTGACAGGGCCTCCAGGAAATGCCATGAAACATAAAAGAAAACCTTCCACTCAGAAACCACGATACACCCTGGATCGCGGGGACCAGTTTCCGTAAGTTCCACAATCACGTGGTCCCGGGCCAGGTAACACGCCACACAGGGTCTCGGACTCCACCTAACTCCCCAGAATAGCAGAGGAAACAGATCGCTCACCTGGCGGCAGGAAGAGAGTGGCGCGCAACCGGCCCGCGCGCACCGGTACCC